TCAGTCGGTCTGATCCTCTTGGCGAGAGGTCAATCACTTGCGGAAAGGTAGGTGTGTAAAAATCTTACTTGATATAATGCCGGGGTGGTACTCAACAAAGTTTTTAGACGAAGAGGCTCCGCACCGAATTCCGACTCCTTAACTTTATTTTGACAGAAAAGGTACCCTTTGAAAAAATGGTCCCCCTCTTAAAATTACTAGAGGAGGTGCACCGATACGGTCCGTTTCTGTTTTTCAGAACGGAACCCCTTTTTGGGCGAAGCATGCTCTAGATCTTAAGGCCATCGTTGGGTGTCCCCCCCGACCCTCCCCCGCATGTAAGTTAAAGGTGTATCTACCTTTGGAAGCGTTCCAGAGCGTTTTCTGGATTGCTGGAAAATAGAGAGCAGCAAGGAAATAATAATCCAATTCTCTGACACCCTTTTATTGAAGATCAGATTTAATTGAGGCAGTGCCTCTTTGAGGTCTTTGAGTTATGACTCTTTAAAGTGACCAGTGTTTACATCGCGTGACCCGGGCCACCTAAAATGAAATCAGTTCTAGTCAACTGTAGTGTCACTTACGGGTCATCTGTCATTCTTCTCACTATATAGTGATAACATTTAGTAAATAGCAAGTTAACGTGTTATCAAATATTTAAAAATCTTCGATTCTTTTTTAACGGGAACGCGTTTGGGGGAAACTCGAACCAATCAACTGAATCAGACCAAAAAGCAATTTTAGTTAATTTTCTAACGAACGAGGTTAGATATACATTATCTTACAAATTTTTAATTTATTAGTTTAGTTTTTCGCAAGTGAACTGATCTTGTTTGTCCCTGAGACGATCTTCAGACGTTCTGTCCGTTCTGTTATGATGTCGTGCCCAAGGAAGGGGGGGTTGGGTACTCCGGAGTTCATATGACGGGCATGATCAAATGTTGTTGGGTTTGAAATCTTCCATTGCAGGACATTTTGGCAAGTATTTTGCCTTGACTAAGTAGAGATTTTGGGGGGTATTCAAGCTAAACAAGCTGAATATTGGTCTAGTACAGTTTGCGTATGCCGGCCGCGTGGTTCTAGATTACCAGGCGAGGAAAAGATAAATTCGAATTTCAAAATAAATCGATAAACAACCGCAAACTTTCATTCTCCATTTTTTACGTGGTATATCGCTTAATCCTTCACGGAAGTGAAATTATGGAGTTTTTAAGGCTTGGAAATTGGGCATAGGATTTTGGGGGGGTTAATTTTTTGTCACGGGATTTTTTATTTTGGGAGGTTTTGTTAGAAGCTGTGGGGATCATCCCCGTCACTTTAACTCTGGAGTGCCCCCATCTCCCCGTGGGATGTTGTGCTCAATGACTGACTTTTATAAAAACCCGCTTGTGGCTGATCTGCCCAACTAATTTGTTCATATTTTTTGCAGCACCGGCGGCAAAAAACAGGTCATAGTTTTGTCGCTTCCTGGCGAGGATGAGGAGTATTATCGCCCCTACTTTTCGGATATTGCCAACTTTGCCTTTGAAATGGATCTCAGAACTAAAGGCAGAGATCACCTGTTTATCGTCCACGATGAAACAGGCCGGAAGTACTTTCAGAACCGCACGTTTACCCACGCTCATTTCATTGAAATGGCAAAGCCGTCTATGGACGCGTGGATGAGAGATTTTCCCCCCGCCATGCCAAACCAGCAGGTCAAGTTTACCTATAAACCACAGTACCTTACGGTTGAGCAGGCCAAATTTGATGAAGAAAGGTTTAAGAGGTTTGCCACCCTGGTGGGCTTGCCTTCACTAAAGCACAGCAACATTATTCTTGAAGGAGGGAACATTGTGGAAAATGGAGACGAAATAGCCATAACCACTGAGAGAGCGTACCATGATAATCCAAATATGTCTCACCAGGAACTCGTCAAGACGTTGGAAGCTGCTATCAACAGAAAAGTTGTGGTTATTCCAGACCCAGGAGATGCAACTGGACACGCTGACGGCGTCGCGTCATTCGTGGAGAAAAATACTCTGTTAGTTGGGTTAGTAGAGAACCACCCCAATGGAAAAGCTATACACGATAACTCGATAAACGCTATTCTTAAAGTCTTTCCAAATCTCACTGTTGTGACTCTCCCGTCCTATTGGGTAAACACCACTACCTGGGATGGTTTTACAAGTGCTGAAGGTTGCTATGCCAACTCTTTGGTGACCTACAATGCTGTTTACCTACCTTTCTTTTCCAATCAGACGGGCAACGAAAGAGCATTTGCTGTCTTTAAGAATAGTACCACCAAAGAAGTCATCCCTGTGTATAACACCGGTACAGTACCCGTACTCGGAGGAAGCCTTCGTTGCATGACGTGGCAGATTGACGAGAATCACCCTGTGGCTCAAGCATTATTTGAATACGTGAAGACGAAAAAGTCCCCTAGTGGGTCGGCTTCAGTGGTCACTGCACAGATTGCGTGGATGGCAGCCTTTGTGCTGATAGCTTTTGCTTTGGCTTCTTCCCATTAACTTTGTTTGAGCTAGCTGTCTCGTGTTTAGATACCTTATTGTAACTCATTGCAATAGGTCTTGCATTACTTCTTTGATAAACGGGTTATACGCCCGGGGGTACTTTAGGAATGTTTGGCTGGGGACTTGCCGCTTAGACCCTGGAACCCTAAGCTTATGCCAGAGCTAGTTCAGCTACATTTTGCTACCCTATACTGGACTAAACACTCCAAATTTCCCCCCCATCTTAGAGTAGGTTTTAGGCTGAGTTGCGCAAATTTAAACGTGCCAATTGATTTTTTATATATATTTTTGAGTGGCAATCCCCGGTTTCGCTAGTCTAGACTAAAATCTTCAACCAATTGATCAGTTTCCTGGAAAATGATACCTTCTTCTAGACCCAAATTCTCTGATTTATATACCCCATCCCAGAGTAAACTGTTTGAAAAAAAGCTTGAAACAGCGGCACATACCTATATAGCCCATAAATGGCAGTACCCCCCTCCCCCCACCCAGTGGGGTTATATGTTAAAAAAGACTGAAGAGACTAAGGCTACGTTCACGTGGCATCGTTCGAATTTTCAATAGACCGCTCAAAACTTCGTAAGTTTAGGTGTTCTGTTCAAGCGGAACCACCTTAACTGTACAGACAGGGTCTGAATGAGAATTAGTGTTTAGTGTTATTTGCCCATAATGTTTAGTGTTTGCTATTAAAGTGGGCGCCAGTTTTTAATGTTTACTGTTTCCGACGAAAATGCCGTTAAGTGTCTGGAGGGTTCTTCGGACATCTTCGGCAATGGTCGGACCTCTTTGTTAGTCTTGGAAAATCTTCGTCAGTCTTTGGGAATCGTCGGTAGCCGTCGGAAATCTTCTAAAACAATCTGGAATTGTCGTAAAATGGCCAAAAACTCCTTGACATACTCAAAAAATGAAGTGTTTAGTGTTATCGAGGTACCCCCATTCAGACCCTCTTAGACGCCTACCCCCAAAGCTCCGTGTGTCAGACAGAGCGAAAATATCGAAAGGTTCCGTGTGAACGAAGTGTCCGGTAAAATGTGTTAACAGGTCGAAAATTTATCCGTTGCCCTTTTGACGTGGCCTGAGTCTCTCCCATCTTTTTTCCGTATAGCAGTTTTATATTGAAGTAACGGTTTTTTGGTTTCCATGCCCTGATTTTGATTTTTGAGAAACTTGTAACAAAGAGACACGTAAATCAAAATATAATAAGAGTCTGATATACAATATTATGAAAAAGAAATCATGTCAAATAAAAATTTTGTTCGTTAACTGTTTCAGCACTGTCTGACACTGTTTCCAAAAGTTTAATTGCATGTACTTCTTTATTCGTTTTCCTCTTGAGTATTTTTGCCAGGGTTGAGGGTAGAGTGAACCCCTAATACATAGTAACCCTCATATAAATAAAGAAAACTTGGAATACGAAAAAAATTCCCCTCTACTGTGGCAAAATGTATAAAACAACACCCTTATATTACGAACCCCTAAGTCCCTTGGCACCTTATTGCATCAGGTTTCCACTGTGATGTTGTTGATGTTTTTCCCAACCCTTGGCTCCACCCTTTGGTTTCATTTCTTTCAACTTTGCATGCCAATAACGCACGTTGTTTGTTCCTCGCAAAGCGAAGGCCTCAAGGCCTTTGTCTACCGAGGTTTAATAAATTTGTCCGAATTCGCGTCGCTCTCCTAGATCGTTTAAATGTCTTTCACTTCCCAATCTCATAATTTCATCAGTGCTAAAAATATAGGATATACAAATTCCGGGTTTTCTCTTAGCTAGTGCAAAGTTTTGTTGGCTGAGATGTGGTTGAATTGCTTGACCCTGAACTGGCCCTTGTGAGGTTCCTGAGGTCAGTTAAGTCGCTTCTGCTCAATACATCTCATGCACATTGCCAACATAGAGAATTTTTCATTAAAATATTCGATCACTAGCACTGCACTTGAGTTTTCAATGTATTGTCCGGATCATAGCAGACATAAGAAGAGGATAGAAGAGTGATTTAATTAACATTTCCCTCTTTCTTTTTCAAGAGTTACACTGTTAAGTGCCCTAATAAATGAAAACGTGAGCGAAATTAAAAAGGCCAAAGTTTGTTAGGTTAACAGGCCGGAATATTATTTATCCTACTAGAGCTGGATAATAGAAAAACGGCAATTTGTTTGCTAAATGGCCGAAATCAATTAATTATGGCAAAATCCACGAGGCCGATATGTTAAATGAACTTTGCCTGACAAGAGATGGTAAGGCAACAGTCAGGACGGTTGATTGCGATCTTTCATGTCCCGTAACGACTAACATTGGACGAGCCAAACTAACCTACAAACTCCCAATGCAAGTTTCTTTTTGCAAAGATATGAATTCCCTTCAGTGTGTGTGCCAGCAAAAGTAATGACACTTTTTTGGGCAATGTTTTCACGCGGTTACCTAAACCATTTTTGTAATCTCACCTTTCAGTGTCTCAAAATCGTCGCAGTTTTAAAAGGGAACATTTTTGTTACAAAAGAAACTGAATTTGTTAGCGGCCTTTCTGGTCTTTGTCCATTAATTGTTTACATAAAATTCCAATTTTCAGTCACCTTCAAATCTTAATTTTTTCCTTTTCCCATATTTTGTAAACATGCCTTCCTTAATTTTTTGCTTCATTAAAAACATTCTGAAAATTTTCAATTTGTTCCATTCATTAGCAAGGACGTCTAATAAATGGAGGAGGCATTAAAAGGGGGAAAAAGTCGGCGAGATTTATCAGCAGAGGTTTTTTGAATTTCTTAGGACAAGCTTTTTTGACCCTTAGAAACATACCTCCCTTAATGACCTCTCTTGTTTTCTTTTGACAACATTTGCCGTTTCCCCCTTGACCAATGTCACGTCACCTCTCGCATTTTACCCTAACTTACAATGACCCACAACATTTTACGAAAAGTACCCGAGGTGTGGTACTCAAAAACTAAATGGTTCGGTAAAATGGGCAAAACATTATTCGCAAAATTATGAAGGGGCCGCTCAGGTTAGCTGGCTATTAATGCCGGGGTGGTGTTGAACCATGAAAGAATTTGGCCAGAAGGAAAGCGATAAAGGAAAATTAATGACACATACCATGTATAGAGTAAATAAGATATGGAACAAGGCAGTCGAAGCCGCCTTTCCGAAGTTTTTGCTAATTGCGTTCGGTGTATGAAAGGTTCGGTGATTCAAAGTGTGTTAGCATAAGCTGCTTACAATTTTCTTGTTGGTTAATTAATTTCCAAGTACGTTGAAAATAAACCCGTAATATTATTTCCGCTTAAATCTTATACGAACGCCTTTTTGTTTTGGTTGTTCTTTTCATCATTTTTTTTTCGTTTTTTGTGATTTATGAACGACTAAAAATGGCTTCCTTGTTATTGTAGGGAAAAGATTCCCGAAATATTCTCTCGTGACATTTGGCCAAAGAAACCGTTCTGAGGAAATGTCACGAGAATATTGGTCAATTTTTTGCTAGCTTTTTAACAGGATAGTAAATAGCGTGAGTCAGGACATCTTCGTAAACCCGTCCCGTGCTCATAAGATTATTCTTCAAATATTTCTACGCGCCTGTTTAAATAACACTTAAACATCTTAAACCCTTGTTGTCCTTTCCTGGAGTCTCTAATTTTTTTCTATGTCTAAAACGTGGGTTTCCTGGTGAAATATTGTTGATCCCGGTTCAGATCAGGGCTAGGAGCCGTAAAATTGAACCCTTCCAAGGAACCGGAAGATTTCAGAGCTTGTTTAACCTCACCCCAGAAAAGTTGTAGGTTGTAGAGGTTAGGTTTATCTCGAACAAATATCATCATGTACTAGAAACCGTTTCTAAACCATTGGGAAAACCAAGCACTACTGAACTATTTTTGGAAAACAAAAACAACAACATGACAACGAAATGAAACATCTAAAAGTAATGGTCACACTGCACAACTCTATGCAGTATTGCCAGTACTTATGCATGCACATAGCCATATCACCCGCGCAGAAAAAGTGTCACGAAAACTTCGAAATAAATGTGAGATTGGCTTTTGTGATCAATTTTTTAAACTTGGTTTACGAACACTTAATACTAGCGACAAAATATCGTGGAAAAATACGTGCTCAGTGGTGTTCAGATTAAAGTAGTATAAGAAGACGAATATTTCATAGGTAACAATCAACATGTTAGCTAAATGGAACGTTATTTAGCATTGAGAAACAAGATAAACAGAGAACAATAGAAAGACGTGTGTTTGCCTAATTCACAGCACTTTCATGATGAAAAACAACAAAAACTGACGTGGCTGACTGAGTAGTTGTTAAGAGGACTGACCCGGCCTGTTTCAAGGCTTCGCTGAGTTGACTAACCTTTAACGCACACCTCCGTTCCTTAAACAGGGGACTTTGAGTTGATTATTTCATTCTGTGTCTTTTTAGAGAGAGTTGACAGTTTTGGGCATAAGTGTGGTTTTTATGCCTTAACGACTCTTTTACTCCTAGACTACTTTAACGGGAGATAATTTGTCACCTCTATAACACTTTTGAATCGGTGGACAAAATCCAAAGGTGATGCCACTCAAATGGAACCTTAAGGCAGAAATTTGCATCGTACTATTTCTTTATTAAGATTTTACCAAAAGGAATTATGCTTTGTGCGATTTTTTTCTTCGGACATATTATGGAGTGAACTAGATAGGCCAAATCTGATTCAGCCTCTCCTGTGGCGCCATTTGAACACAGTCATGAAAGCCAAAACAGTCCCATCAAAAGCTGATCCCAGCCAACGCTAAGCCTTAGTCCTAGGTAATTGGACTGTAATGGCCCCGATTATGGCAGCCAAATAAGACCCAAGAAATAAACGCTCCCAAATTTAGGGTTTAACACATATTTTTGATTTACTATGAGCGCGCGCTTAAAAGCTCTTAAGAAGTAATTTAGAGTGATGTTCAGGTTATCACAAGTACAAGCGATTGAAGAGTTGAAATTGATTAGTTGTGTAAAGTAAGGCGAAAGAAATAAAGTTAGTCAATGGAACAAACTATAAATCATGTTTACCAGCATCATTTACAACTGCATGAACATAACTCACACGGCGTACAATTTGACAACTTTGTTCAGATGCTAAATATATTTTTTTACATTTTATATTAAACTGCAAATCCTTGTGGCCGGCGTTCTTTCTTCCTATAATAAGTTTGAATCACGAACCAAAATAGCAGTCAATTTTCGTTAACTGTGTAATTACAAATGATGGACAAGAACAATAAAAACGGTACAGGTGTTTGCAACTTTTTAATAATAAACCACTACTGTAAATGTCAGCTGGACAAGAGTATGTAAACTGTCAAAAATCAAAAAGAACAATCTAGTTGATCATTCACCTCTTAGAAAATTAAAGGGCACGCAGCTAAACAAATAATGTAACAATAACTTTGAAACACAAATAAGCTCTCTAGCTGAGTTGCTGTTTGAGCCAATCACAACTCAAAAACTGGTCATTTGTCAATGATTGGTTGAGAAGTAACAATAAAAGGCTACTTAACCTCACAGTTTTACTGTCGAGATAAGGATAGGTTTGGAGAGACTTTTGGGATTGAGATTAGCCAGTACAGCGCCATGCGTCTCCTGCTGTTTTTTTCTTTTATTTTAGTCTCAAAAGGATTCAAATGTCTTCAAAGGTAAGATTTCAGTTGACACAAATTTGTTCAAAACGTTGCATGCGTGCGTGTTCGTAGGTCTCAACTCGAGCCGGATTATAAACGAATCAAAACGTTTTCATAGGCATGTTTTTGTCGCAGTTATTAATTCAAGTTTATGGATAATGGCAGGACAATCCTGGTTGCCATTGCAGCCTTGTTTTACCGGATATAGGTCGTAAATGAGTAACAAAACAGTACGATTGTTACTCTGAAGTTTTTAAACAGAGGTTTCATTTTTTTAAGACGTAACACATGGGCCCTGAAGTAGCGAAAATCTGACAAAAGTACATTAGTTTTAAAGAATATTAAAGCATATATATTTTTTCTAGGGTCACTTTAATAAAAATTTTACAAGTGTAATTTACAAGTGTGGCCATTGTTTTAGAGTTTGAAAACAATAGCTACACTTGTAAATTGCACTTGTAAAAGTTTTATTAAATTGACCCCTGCTTTGCCACACCAACCTTACGTGGAGTTTCTTTATACTTGTGCTCAGTCTGAAATTATTTCCTCTTTTAGTAATGAGAATGAGAACGAAAAGCAAGTGATTGTTATATCACTTCCCGGTGAAAAAAATGTTCAGTATCTTCAGCAATTACAGAACCTTGCTGACTTCGCCATGGAAATGGACCAGGTGACACAAGGCAGGGATCATCTGTTCATCATTCACGACAAGTCGGGCCTTAAGTACTTTCATGGCTACACCTTTGTCAACGCTTACCTCATTGAAATGGATGAGTCACTGGATATGTGGATGAGAGATTTCCCTCCCACAATGCCAAACCAACAGATCCAATTCACGTACAACCCACAGTATCTCTCTGATGTCCAGGCCGAGAAAGATAGTCTCGCTTTCGAAAAGTTTGCGAGAATGGTGGGGCTGTCTAAAACTTTGACGCACAGCAAGCTTGTTCTCGAAGGAGGGAACATTGTGGAAAATGGATGTGATAAAGCCATTACGACTGCGAGAGCCTTAGACGACAATCCGGGAATAAAGGATTTCATCGCGGAACTGGAATATACTATTAAAAGAACAGTGGCAGTCCTTCCAGACCCCGGAGATACTACCGGACATGCTGATGGCCTAGTGTCTTTTGTAGAAAGAGATGTGCTCCTGATCTCCGAGTTTGATGACGCTGATGGAAAATATTTTTATAAAGCCATGAAAAACGCTGTTCGTGCCGTTTTTCCAAACCTCGTCATCGCTCCTTTGCCGTGCTATATAAAGAAAAGCACGTCCCATGGGTTTAGTGCCGCCGAAGGTTCTTACGCCAACTCATTGGTGACAAACAACGCAGTGTATATGCCCTACTTTTCCAGGCATGAAAGCAACGAAAAGGCCCGTAAGGTGTTCCAGAAGTATACCTACAAAGACGTGGTTCCCGTGATAGCTGCTGGAAAAGTGAACATTCTTGGGGGCAGTGTTCGTTGCATGACATGGCAGATCGACAAAGATCATTCAGTGGCTAAGGCATTGTTTAAATATGTGGAAAACAAGCGAAAGAGATCTTTGATCTGAGAGTCTCCTTAGATTTCGTTCCACCATTGTTCAGTTGTCCTGAACTGTTTGATTTTTCAAAGCTTTCACGAGAATTTTAAGCCATTTAATTATTCAACCTAAGGTCTGTAAGGATTGTTGATATATGGGTAACATATTTGATTAGAGCTTTAGTCAATTATAGATGATGTGATTTGTGAACTTATACATTTCTTGTTTTGGCAAGTACAACAAATAAAGAGTGTAAAATTACCTGTGTGATATGACATGCATAGCTGTTAGTTACCTCTTTACGTCTCAAACAATTACAGTAAATCGTGTAAAAATATTGTTAAACAGAACAGGATTAAATTTCCATCCAGTATCTCGCTTTTGTTGCTGAGAGAAAATCGTAATAATCGGTTTAGATTACCGCAGAACTGTACCGTGCTTGTTATTTTCCCCTCATGCTCATATAAGCGACGCATTCTTCTGATGAGGTACGGCGTAGGGCGGCGCTTAATCGAGCAAATACGGTAAGTCATCGATAGCCTAAAAGAAAAGGGATTTGCAATAATTTTCCCTCCCCCTTTTCGTTGTAACAGTGTCAGCTTAAGCAGCGACGTTTTTGAGCGACGCACGTCAACCGGAAGTGATGTATTTTCCCTCTTAACATGCCTTGATGATATAAAATTTGTATTCCTTAGTTTCTTTACTGTTATAGAGGCGATTTGACTGAAAATTTGCGCGAAACCACCGTCAAAAAATGAAAAAAGGCCACTTCCGGTTGACGTGCGTCGCTCAAAAACGTTGTTGCTTAAGCTCCCCAGTATCACAGAACCGTAGCCTAATTACGGGCTACTTCTTTATTTAGATAAGTTGAAAATTGATCCAGACGTTAGACTACTTCAAATGAAAAACTGAAAGTTAGCAGATAAGTAACTTCCTGGGACAATTATCACTTCAATGAAAATTCTTACTGGCATGAATCATGCATCCACTTCCATGGAACATGAAGATAAGATACCAAAAAATTTCACAGTAAACAGTCCGGAATATCCCTAAATTTAAGAACAGTTGTGGCGTCATGGAGCTATTGTTTTAGAGTAAAATGGCGTATAGATTACCTAAACGACCACAGTCGCCGTTTCGAGGCTCTCAGGCATATTTTTAAGACTTTTCATGAGGCATACACAATTTTTTTAAGTGGACAGCGCATCGGAAGCCACACTGGAAGTGTCTTGTGAAATATTCAGCACATTTTGTGGCTTATTTCTTCTTTTAAACAACGCGATATAGACGAGATTTTGGTCGGTTCAAGTTAGGTGAACAAGTATCTATTATTTTTTCGATTCACAGATTTTTTACGAAGTTCTAGATATTTTTCCTCGATTGTCGTATCGATTAACTTTTATCATGTCGAATGTGGGGATGGTAGACAGCCTAGAATTTTGGTAGACAATTTTTGAATTCCGAGGTCCAAAACACGTACATTGTCCACTTCCGGGTTTCACGTAGAGCCGTGTTATTACTTTTTTTCGCATTACTACGAGCCTTTACCTTTTTCCTTTTCAAGGCCAAAACAACTTTATTAGTCTTATGGCTATATATTCACGTCCAACATCTTGCCTCACTTTGCCGAATTTGCGGGGATAAAATTGAAGATCATAAGCGCAAGGTAGATACTAACCGCTTTGTTTCTGAAATTCACCAAATTTAGAAAGATTTATTGTTGTTGGATTCTCCAACTGTTCTTCCACAGTTAAAAAAAAAAATTTAAAAAAAAAAGGGAAATTTCAACTGTAAACAATGTATTTCGCTACTCATTGGAAATGCACTGATTATCTGGGATAAAGTTAAAACATTGCAGGTACGAAAGCAAGCAAAGAAAGCACCATATGTGTGAAGTTAACACGAAACAACACAAAAAAAAAAACGAGAAAAATTAACAAATTTGAACTACTTTTTATTCTTGTTATGATGACTGGTTCTTTGATTCTTGTCCTGTAGAAGTTAATAGGTCATGCCAATCCTGTTTTGTACGATCTCGACAAATTTTCGCACTCTCTCTACGGCTATGTTTTACACGGGACCAGTTTGCTTCTACCAAAAATCTTGCAAGCCATGCCAGTGAAGCCACGACCTCTGCGATGAGTCCGGAACCAGTTCGAACACCCCAATGATTCCTTGCAATGAATCATACTCTTATTCTCTTACATAAAATGTTTTCTTTGAAATAGTAAATGTGAAACCTAGACGGGTACTGTAAGCTCATCTTAAAATCTGTCCGACTCCGTTCACTGTTGTGAAAATTTTAGATCACTGGGTTGATGTTTTGATAAACACAAGCGCGCCTTCTCATTGGTTGAAAAGTGTCTCGTGGCCCTGTCCTTGAATTTAGGGATATTCAGGACTGGTAAATGCCGACTAATACCTTCTGTGTTTAGGGAAAATTCAAAACAGATCCACACGTTTATAGACAATTTCAAACTGAAAGCTGAAGGTTGCAGAAAAGTAACTAGGTATGAGAACCCAAGAGAACTGGGACAGTACATAATTATCGCTTTAAAATCCTTATTGGCATTAATCATGCATCCACTGCCATGGAATAATGGAGGTACTGAAAAATGCTACGGCATAAGCCAATAAAAAAAATACTGATCCAAATTTATCAACTTAGAAAATTCAAACGCATTCTCTTGGCATGTAAGGGTTACATGGAATGAGGAGGTATGTGATGGTGCCTCCCCGAGGGCTACGCCCTTGGGGCGGCACCAGGTAAATATATCACATATCCCCAAAGGCCACGTAAATGAAATGCTTATTTTTTACATGTGAGGTTTCTTAATGAAAAACTTTTAAATTGATTCTTTAGAGATGTTTATCTCCAAGATCCTCGAATTGTTCGAGGTTGAATTCTAAAATATGGAAATTGGTCAATTCATGTGGAGTAGTCAAACAGTAGTTTTACCAGAAAGAGATGAGCGACTCAGAGGAAGAAGTATTCTTAACGTTAAGGCAGAGCAGTTTTGTAAACTCTTTTGGAACTTCCACTGCGACAGATTTTTGTGTCAGTCGTCCCACGAGTCACATTGCAAATTAGGATGTTAGCAGGTAGACGATGGAGATGTTATGTCAGATTTGTTTAAAAGTGACGAGGCGGTGATGCGAATTTCTAGTTTGAAGGACAATGTGCTATGACAACTGCCGACAAAAAAAATGAAGTTCAAGAAAATGTAGTACGTTCATTAATTCGAAATTCAAAATTCTGACTTGCGTTTGCTTTACTGGGATGGTTAAACATGTTGAGGGGAATGTGATTGAGCAAGGGAAAAATATATTGCATTGTTTTGTTATTGTTTCAGCCACGCACTCCTCTGTTGCAATCAAAGCCGCCACTAACTTTTCAGACAGAAAATAAATATGAGGTTATGTAATATATTCCCTAAAAATAACAAAGGAAACCGAGCAATGTGAAAAATAAGAGATATTATGAACAAAGTATACGGACAGTCAGTGACTAAGTACTAACTATGAAGAAAGTTACGCTGGACGTTTTCCTGCTGGTCCTTTTCTTTCAAAGGAAAAGCTCTTAAATATCGATAAATAGACCTGGTGATTCAGTACCAAATTAGTAGAATCTAAACTTCTTGAGCTTTCTTTCGTCTGACTGAAGTTTTTGGAGGTATTTCTCGATAGCTTCCAAAGCAAATGAAGTCTTCTTAGCGACGAGTTTATTCCTCTGCATTGCTTCTTCTAACTTTAGTTGAGCTTCCCGTTCATCTTCCATCTCTGCCTCGGTCTCGTCTTTCAGTTCCCTCTCCGCCGAGGCCAATTCATCCTTTAACGAATCCACTTCCTCTGCAATTGAACTGCCTGTCTCCTCTTCATTACGAAAACGCTTCTCTGCTCGGTAAACTGCCAACTCTTTGGCTCCGTCGAGTTTTGTGAGTATTGAATTTGTGGCCAACAGTTGCTTGTAGAGAGCCACATCCCTAAGTTTTGGAAAATGGGGGATCCGTGATCGAAGTATTTTGGAAGCATTGCGAGTGTGAACAGCTCCAAGTTTTTTCTCAATGTTATTCAGGGCAGTCGCAGCTCCTAAGGAAAGGAACAAGTTAACCTGAGTTGAAGAAGTTTGTTTTGATTCGGTTGGAAGAGGGAATGACGGTTTGCCATGGTCTAAAGGGTGGTCTATGAAAACGTATTGTGTTAAGGCCGTTGAAAACTGTTTCGTTCACGTTTGAAAGTTTCCCGTATCTTTTAAAGGGTTGAAAACACTCAATACCGGTATTAGACAATAATAGCTAACAGATAAGAGTTGGATAGACCTAACTGCAATTTTCACAAGTTTCACAGTGCGTTTATATACCCGTAAATAAAAGCCGTGGAATGAAAGTGGGTGGGGCTCCTGGTCTCGCTATAGCAGGATCTACTTACTTCTTGCCATGTAGAGTCTGGTAGTTGCGTTAGTCTTGGCTTGTCTTGCCATGGCTAGCGCATCAGTTACGGTCACTCCAACTTTCTTGTGAACATTTTGAGTCAATTTTTTAACCATCCTCAAATCCTCTTCCAGGTCCTCCATCTTCCATCGAAAATCCTTTCTGACGTCGTTTAGTTCTTTTGTTGCTTGTTTCTCAGCTTTCAGAACATTCATTCTTATTTTCCTCACCTGTAGGAGTAGTAGAGGGTCAATGGGAATCAACTTGACCCCACTCTTATCTTCCCCTTGAACTGTCTGTTCTGTGGTTTTTAAGGGATTTTGTCTTGGATTCTTCCGCATTAGAGCGGGTCCTTCGCTACTGTCACCACTTCCCAAAATCCCTATATTACTGCCTTCATCTGCAGGAGGCAACTGCTGTTCCGGAGCTTTGAATAGCGCCATCCCACTACCAGAGGACTGGCCATCACCGCTTCCTGATGTTCCAAGAAATATTTTTAAAGGGTCATTTTCTGGTAATTCTGGCTCACCCTTTGCTTCAATTTCCTGTACTTTCCAGCTGTCGTTGATATTTTTAAGTTTTTCAGAACTAGTTTCGTTTTGTTTATCAAACTGCCCACTAGCTTCAAAACCATTGCCTGATTCTTGAGCATCAGCTCTTTTAGATGTTTTCAAGCTGTCTTTGTCTTCTTCAATCGTTGCTCTTTTCTGTCTTCTACCCTTAGATCTCTTTCCATTTCCACTTTTGCCGTTGATCGTATCAGATGCTCTACTTGATTCCGCATAATGCTTGTCTAAAGATGGGTATTTCATTTCCTCAGTCTGAGAAAGAATGTCATGCAAAGTCGTTTTTGTGATGTCCTCATGGATATGATTTTCTCGATCTCCAAAACCTCGTGCATTGAGCAACATTGGTTTTGCAGGATATGATTCATGAAAGTCATTGTCTTGGACGTTTATCTTTGGTTTGATCTCCTCGATAGTATTTTTTCTTGACCCAGTGAAGGGAGAACCTGCATATCCTCCAATTTCATTCTCTTCATTAATACCTTTTTTGTCAGTTTCAAAGAGATCCAGGTCGTGTTTAGAACTTTGAAGCTCATCGTTGTCCTCCAACCCTCTAAGTGGCTCTCTCTCTTTAAAAGCGAGGGAAAGAGATTGTAGGTCGCTTTTGTACTTCTTTTCAAACAAGGTGGCAAGGCCATGTGACCTGGGTTCGTCTAGTGAAGGAAAGATATTAATGCTTACCCGTTTAGAGTTTCTGGTAAACCTTTGTCAATTTTTATAATTGCCTATATTCAATCACTTTTACATGAGTTGTTGAATAATATTACATCCTGGGTTAATCCACTAAAGAAGCAGGAAGTGGCTTTTAAGTTACGACTTCCGCTTCATTTCCAATAGCCCACGTTCGATATATTAAAATTCTAACATGACTCCTAGGCTTTAGGGTCCAAATTGCAAATGTTTCAAGACTCCATTGTCTCGCAACTCCCAACAGAGACTTGAGCGCAAAGAAAACCAAACCAAATATAAAAAAAATGAACAGAAAGCCTCGGAATCATGTTAGAATTTTAATATATCTAACGTAGGCAATTCGTTTCGTGCTTAAAAGCCGCCTCACGCAGGTTGAGAAATAGTGCTCCCGCTGATAAGAACACTTGCCGGGGTTATTTATATGCCCTTCCACGAGACCGGGACCAGTTAGCGAAAATCCGTCAACACCGCTGGAAAGAAAGCCTTCAAATCAGTTAGGTTACCAAGTTTGAAATGATTTGTTGAAAACTAACGAGGATGTAGCTCTGCAAAGTCGCCCAAATTTACAGACTTTTATATGGTGGGGGGGCAAGTTCGTGCCTCCCCATCATACAAATTTTTTTTTCGAAAATTTTGCGACTTTGTTGAATAATAACTTAGCTCGCTTTGGATGTATTACCTTTAAACTTGGTAAGTTTCCAAATTTTAAGGCGCTTTTTCCAGCAGTGACATTGGATATTCGCTTTCTGGTCTTTATGAAAACCTATTTTCAAAGGTGTTATTTCATCAGTGGCGCTAAGCACCTGTTCTCAACCTGTGGAGAGTAAATTCAATCTGGGAAGCTTAATCCGACGTCCTTTGAAGTGACATGCTGGTCGCATCAATAAAACAAATTCTGTTAGAGATAGTTAGAGGTCACTATTACGTTCCCTGAATCAATGTATTGATCACTTCTCAAACTCTTTCGATTTTGTACTCACTTGTTTGCTTTCAAAAGTGAGCTGTTAGATTACAAAGCAGGACAATCAAATCCAACTCATATTTCATCTGAAAGGTGGCTATGGAAGAGCTTTCTCTTAGTGGCCATGAAGGTAAAAAGAAAGTAGCTAAGGGTATTCTCCATCACTTAATAACCAGTAATGTAAATGTACGTTTTCAAGCACTCTTAACCAAACGTTTGCAAGCACCAAAGATTTTCATTTAAACGTAAAAGGCGGTTGCATAAAACTGATTTGTTTCAGGGACAATCGAAATTTGAGAAAAAAAAGTCTGACAGGTTACACAACTTTCTGCAGGTGTTTCTTCGTTTACCTTTAGGCGTGACTTGCGCTTCAGAACACAAGAATTTTAAGAACGAAAGCGAAGAGTTTACAGCAAGCTTGCCCTTCGATAGAGTGTTGCAGTTTCAAGGTGTATATCAAGGTAGAAATGAAAGCTTCTTTCATAACACTAAGAACTTTAAAACCAAATTTCAACGCTCACTGTTGTCCCTGAAAGCTTTTTGGAAAGAGCAATTACCAAGAAGGGAGTCGAGAGAGAGAGCTACTAAAATACTTTTTTTGAAGATACGCCTTCGTTTTTTGTCCTTCAGGCTAACAAGCTAGTGAATAAGGTAGGTTTAACGTATGTTACTTGAAATCAGACTCTTTGGAGTTCATCATGTCCAGTATGGTAATATTTAAAACCTCAAATCTGTGGACATAATATGGCCGTTGAACGTTCTATAGATTGCAGCAGTTGCAGCAATCCTTTTCAGCTTATCTAACGCTGTCATTTTTAGACTATCACTGCAGGGGTTTAATTATTTGGCGCTTACCTTGCGGGGAGAACTTTCGTATGCAGCTTACACCGCGGTAGTGTACTTGAAAGAAAAGAAACCAAACCCAAATCATTTTGCAAACGGCCATTTGGTTCGAATTTTGTGTCGGTCAGTGTTAGGACGACAACAAATATGAATTTTCCTCGTAGGAAGCATTGGGTTTATTTAATATTAGCCTATTTCTGAATATGATTGACAAAACTTCGTCATCGATGGCATTTCCTCTATTTTAGTCCCTCAGTTATCTAAACTGTTTTTAAGTTTATCTAGGATTTTGCAATTACCTTGTCTTAGCACACCCATCTTTTGAAATAATTATATTTGTTCATATCTTTGACTTAGTCGACGGGACCCAAATAAATTTATCTTTATTTGTTCTCATTACTGGTACCTAATAATCTTGTTAATCATAGGTAAACAAAATGATCTTGCATATTAACTACGCGTTAGGGGTTCTTAATTATCGATCAAGGCAGACACGTGCAAGGGGTATTGAAATCTATTTTGTGACCACTGCCTTTATATCATAGTACAGTAACAATTTCCTTCGAGCATCTGTAGACAGTGAACATTTTGAGAGTCTCAAACATTTCGGCCCTAGGATGTCAGCCTCTTAGGTTACCGAAGACAAAAAATTTTGGCTGCTGTTATTACCCTACAATTACCAAAGGTTAAACTGGGAATTTGCAACGGCCAGCAGATTAAAGCGAAAAATTAATCATTGCCATCTAGCACGGGAATTGCAGATCCAAAGATCGACAGTTTATTTTCCATTTTGTCAAGAGAGGATAATTCTGAAGACAGTGAATACACGGATATCGTCCATTACAATGGCACCGGTTGAACATGTCCATTCTTATCTTTTTTACCATATACTCTCCAAACATCAGGAACACTTTTGATTATTAAAACACTGGTAAAACACGGCTTAAGGCAACAACGGGATTTATAGATGGTAGATGTGTTTGATTGCCTCTTCTCTCCTTCAGACACACCCTTTGGGAGAACTCCAAGCCTAGCAATATCTATTTCGGAACAAATAACGTCTAAAATAGTGTTGATCTTTGTCGGATGTGTCTTTAATTGCCTTCCATAAATACTTCAACCGCGTGATGATGATATGAATTCTACTTGATGCACTTTATACTTTCTATTGTGGTGTATCTCGAGGCAAACATCTTTAAGATCGATTAGGAGGTATTTCAAGTTATGTTTCCAGGTGTACCCGGGGTGCCAAAGACTTTTCATGGACGGATTCCGTTTTTTCTGTCTTGTTACTTCAGATGGCAGTAAGTAGTATTGATGCCAAAATGCTCTTTAGTATTTTAAGTTAACAAAAATTAATGTTACGAAGAAGAACAAAAAGCGACGGAGACACCCAGGAGATGAGATATAGACTCCAGTGGACACCATATAACAGACAAAAATCTTCATCTACTTTTTCAAGTATCGGGAAAGCTGGGTCTTTGAAGGGAACAATCAACAACGTACCCCAGTGGTTCGGACTAAGTTTTTGTCCTTCCCGATCATCACTGCGATGTAAAGTAGGCAACGATTGGGTGTACTAAAAGATAAATTTACAACGTATGCATCAGTGACCGTCTCTTGGTTTTTCCTTTAGATTTTAGTTCAGTTTCTTTGGAGTTACTGTCGTAGTTGAAGAACTTCCAGATGAAGTCCGGGTTCTATCCTTTATAGTCAATGAAATAGGAGTCTATCAGAAAAGTAGCGAGTGTGAAAGAAAATGCAACAAGCCGAACCTCTTACAATTCTGCGTGTTCTGCGTGACAAACGGTGAGGAGCTTTAGCAACGACGACGGTCTCGGCAACGAGAAAGTCAAAAAACGATGGGTTTGATGAGTAAAGTGCAGCACCCTTTTTGGTACAACTCTTTGCCGTCTGTGCATGATCACGAGGTAGAATCTTCGTATGGCACGTGTTATGTAGGACGTGAACACAATTTGAAGATTTTTTCTTTCTCTTAGCAACGCACGAACGCTTTCACCACCATCGCCATCGTTGATGCTAAGTCTCCCTGATCATCACTTGGGAGCTTAACAAATGTATGTTTGATCCCGGGTGTTTGATGTCACAGAAAGTCCAACAAAGAGATAATAACGGCCACTCATTCTCCGCTACTAATGGTTATCTTTCAATTACTCCCAAAGAAAAGTTCAGAAATTACAAAAGAAATAAGGAAATATTGACCATTTTCACTTTGAACACATCATACGTTGTTTACCCCCAAATTTTGCAAATCCATTGTTTCTAGTTTCTACTGTCTTGGGTATTATGGTCTCTCCACGAGAAATTGAAGAAATGTCGGGGGGTAAACAAGGTGTATTATGGGCAATGTAAAAATGGCGAATCATTTAATTTACCTTCATGGCCACACCGTTGTTGTTTCCCTGGCTAAAGCGTACCACAAGGTTGTTGACGTGATGGGAGGTGGTAAAAGACTTCTTGGCAAGTATTTCAGGGTTGCATTCTTTGGACAGGTAAATGGTTTGTAGTCGTACCATTAACGAAATATATTTTAAACCGACTTTAGTTTAAAAACAGCAAACTAAAAATATTGCTTTACTTTACAGTGTGACGACTTCAACCGGGGCCACCTAAGGACATGAGGTTTTTTAGTTGAAGGGGTTGAGTATCTTTTTCAAACGCTAAAACGGTGTTCGCATCACAGGCGGCCCAGACGTAGTATGTGTCACTGAATGAATATATTAATATCCACATGGACAAATTAATGCGATGAGTCGTCGAAACTCCCATGGACTAAAATAGTCCAAAAGTCAAAATATAACAAAACAAAGCTAAGATACCTTCTACTGAACGTATCCTTGTCATTCCTGGCCGGTTTAAGTGGCATTTTGTTGAGTTTTGTAATTGTAGGTACTATCCACTAAAGAAGAATTAAAGGCTGGCTACAAAACAAACAGACCATCTCCACGCGCCTTCACACGAAGCGCTATAAATTCGAGAATAATCGACGAATCCGCTCCAAATAACCATCGGCTAATCTGCAGGTAACGTGTGCTCCTGCTTCTGGCTCGCTTGCTCCACAAAACCCATCGCAACTGCACAATAATTGCTCGCTCATCAACAACCACTGTTGACCTTTACGCTTCGATATGACCGCAAACGACCAGGTTTAATACGCGACGTGAATATTCAAGCTTAGCGACTGCGTTCGCGCAACAATGCAGCACTTGCTATGGGAGGGATGGTACTATTGCTTCTAGGTCAATCTCTTAGTAGTTTTATAAAATGGCGAGTACAGTTAACCCAAGGGGATAATTCAGGGGCAATCTCGTCACCGGAGCCTTCGGATCTTATGGCTGCTCATGACCCAAAGGCTCTAGGAAATTCCGCGGAGCCGTAGCCAAAATCTGGCTATTAGGACCTCACAGCACGTGCTCTAAGTACCAAATAAAAAATGCAATCTCCACCCCAGATCGAGCTCTTTTGCGCATGACGGCCAGTGATGGAAGAGCTCTGGTGAACCCTGGAACAAGACTGTCTCTGATTGATTGGTTTCAGTAAAAAACAATAAAAGTGTTTCTGATTGGTCTATTCAAGTTCGCACGAGAGCGGGTGAACGTACAGCGTGTCTGGTGTGTGAGCCGTTGTTGAAGCTTGTAAACACGCCCTGCCGATTTGTGATTTCAGCGATTCCAAAACAACATTTGCACGACCAATTAGGCAGAATAACTGGATTCCCAATTTTTGAATAAACTACATTAGCTACATATCGAAAACTTACCAAGAAAGGACTTGAATGTGAAAAATAAAATAAAAATACGTCGAGATCTTTGCCAGCTATAATTTAAGAAGCATGATATATTACTGATTATTCTTCGACTTCCACCTTATCATATTCACGCGAAGTAGCCGGGTATGAATGAAAACTTTAGCTTCATTTCGTAAATTGCCCAAAAATAGACTTGCAAGTGAAATGTAAAAAGTGAATCGACATTGATGCGTGTACAATGCGATTAGATATTAATAGTTGTCCTCTTTTCCCCACGATATCGCATAATTTCTCATAGTTTCCCATAGTCTCCTTTGCAGCCGCCCGCGTGGGGGCGGGGAGCATTCCGTGACTCCGGCCCGAGCGACTGCAAAGGAGCCTATGTTTCCCAGAGCTTACGCGGGTCAGAAGCGTAAGCATTGGGGTCGAAAATGATCCAAGATGGCGACTCTGAAATTATAATTCCATTTTATTCCAAAGACTCTTTTCCGGGTTGTTTACTTCCTCCGCTTGCAAGCGCTGTCGCTCCCATATTCATCTTTTCGCACGAACTTCAACGGACTTCGATCAGGGACAACTTTTATTGTTCTTTACTAAAACCAATCTGAGAAAGCCTCGCTCCAGGGTTTCCCAGAGTTCTTCTCTTCCGTAGTCATGCTTAATGGAGAAGAGCTCTGGGGTCGAGAATGATTTTTAGGGCATTACCTTACTGCCAGAGCATGCGCTTTTGGAGATACTCTGCCAGGACATGCAAGTGACTTACTTGTAAATACCTTGATGACCAGCGTTACTGTTTAGATATAAACATTGACTAACCCCAATTCTTTACTTCTCTTGGTGGTTGCCCCAAGTATCCTAGCAGGTCTTATGGGTTGCAGCTTTTTTGCTTTCGGGATAGGTTCCATTTTTAACATGGTTTGTTGGTTGTTTTCCCGAACAATCCCTTGAGGTCTCCTGAGAGATGCAAGGTAATACGCTCAGCTACATTGCTGCACATTGCATTCGCTTTTTCCTTTTATTTTAAGGTTAAGTCACGTGTTGATTGTAGGTTGTGTAGATGTTTTATACAGCTTTATGATTACTTATTAAAGGTTAAAACCAGCAAAATATAATTTTTTCTAGCACCTTTACGAATATCTGCGGAACTTTTAGTCTTGTTTCTACATAAACGCCTCTATCGCCCGTCTCCTCTCAAAATGTACTTAATGCGATCGAAAAGATCATATGCAAACACTTCTAATTCATTATGGTACAATCCGGACGATTGCGTCGCTCTAAGTGCACTGAAAATCTATACAGGTATTGGCTTTAATAAGTAATCAAAGACATCACCTCGATCGCTTCAATCGTCGCCAAAAGTCAAGGCGTTCTAGACGATCAGGGAAATATTTTGGCTTTATTATATATTCATTTACTAGTTCTCATTTGGGGGGCACCATTCATGCGATTCTCGTTGTTTGTTCTCTATTCACCTGCTTTTTAAAGTATACTACTCGTGTTTGTTTCCGTTCGGTGAGCTTCGTGATGCCCCGTCTCTGCATCCCAATATCCCAAACGGAGTCGCCCCATGTAAGGAAATCCAGATTCTGGAATTCGGGAAATTTTTGCTTGTGGAATCCGGAATCCTGGGCTTTGGAATCCGGAACACAGCTCAAAGTATCCGAAATCCCACTAACGATTAGAATCCAGAATCCAAGTTCCCCTGACAATGACTGGAATTCAGTCCCTGAAATCCGAAATCCGCGATTTGGAATCCAGAATCCAAGACTGCTTTCGAAATGGCGCGCAACGGAGCGATCATAATTATCTTAAACTTACGATTATCACTTGTGTCTTCTATAAGACAGATATGGTATTATGTTCTGCTTCACATTTTGCCGCAGCGGCTGACTTTATTCAATTTTGATAACCCCGTTTCAGTGCCAACTGTTTTGTACGGTATGGCTGGTTAGTTCCCGAACGCGTCTTCTTCTTCATGAGTGTGTGTGTGTGTTTTTTTTAATTTGCAACATTTATATCCGTTTTTTAGTCCTCAGAGTTTGAATGAAAAAAAAAAAATGCTATCTATCCATTACTTCATCGCTAAAGGTATACATAGCCTGGGCCACCAGCTGTTAACAGTAGCCCGGTTCATCCTTTGAACTGCTAGTCACAACACATTTAATTGTCTTTAATTCCAACCTCCTTAATACCATTCTGAATCTGAAGTAGGCCCGTCTCAACTTGCTGTAAGAATTCCCTTGCTTTTCTCACCGCACGCTCGTTCTCTTGTGTTTTCTCCTCTACTGCATCTCTGGTCCTTTTCACTTGCTCGTTCTCAAACTTTTCTGCGTTTGCCAGTAAGCGTTCAGCTGCTTCCTTTTCACCGACGAATGGTGCCAATGGAATTCTGTCTTTTGCACTGAGTGATTTGTGGCCTGTTTTACTTCTATTAGCATGGTCTTTTTCCGTTGTTTCTGTAGACAGTTTCATTTTTAATGTTTTGTGATGATGATCGGCTTTCTTGTCCTTGGATTTGCTATCCTTTGGCCTTGCATCAGATTTCTTCAGCTTTTTCTTGTCGATAGATTTCTTACTGGATTCTGGTTTTTCCGCGATTAGTTCTCTAATCTTTGTTATCATGTCGTGGGTTTTTGTCTCTTGGATATCTTTTCCAAGTTGTCCGAGATCATTTGAAGCCTCTATAAGAGATAGAGATTAACCACATTGCATTTAGTTAAATAAATCAGTTATTTATTACGCGCTGTTTTATTGGTCATTATACACCTCCGATGTATATCGGAGTACAGAAACAGCCGAACACCCTGAATTGAGTTCAACAATTGTAACTGTTGACACTAAGGAGAAAAAAGTAACAGAAAAGAAAGATTTGTGACTTTTAAATTGGAACAGAAAACTTCAACAGTTGAATGCTACATTCTCTGTTTATATTTGAATAAGTTGCCGATTTTTGTGCCCTTTCCGGCTTATGAACCCATGAACCCAACAGTGGAGGGGTGGGGTGGGGGGATGGCAGGGAAAGAGGGAAGCTTTAAGAAGATTTGAAATTTGAAAAGCTTACAGATTTTTGTGCCCTTTCCGGCATTTCCCCATGCACACCCCGTGGACCTAACAGGGGAGGGGGTGGATTGGGGGAATGGTAGGAAAAGAGGGAAGCAACAAGGCTAATCTCGCAAGGACAGTGCATGTCAACGTGTTTTGCGAAAGTGTTACAGGAAATTTTAACCAGCTTAGCTTAGATCCGGGATAGTTCCTAGTTTCTTTCTTTCTTTTCTCTTTTCTCTCTGTCTCTCTCTCTTTTTTTTTCGAGTTTTTGTTTTTACATAACGTGAATACTAGATTCCATCCGTTTGTGGGAAATTCAGTTAGAGGTTTAAAATAGAACAAAGCTGCCTGGTATGACAAACCAAGAGCAAAGAAGAAATCCTGTTTTAAAAGAGACACACCCATACATTGTGCGCTCATCTGCAGTCAATAGAAATTTCCTATATGTTGTTAACATGTAGCGTTAGAAGCGTTTATATCAAATACCTGTAACTTCGCTCAGTGTTTTAGAGGCCTTCTTGGTAGCATCTGACAATATTTTCATCGTCGCTTTTAATGCGGCTTGCACTCTATAAGTTAAGTCTTCGGCTTCTTTCTCCACGTTCTTCAGTTTTCCCTCCACGGCCTTCTGGTAAATTTCGACTACTTTGCGAAGTTTCTTTAAGTCAAACCCAACTTGATTCAAAGCTCGTAGTCCCTGTTTAGCTTTTGCCGTTAGGTCGAAAGGCTGTACAACTCCGTAACAACAGTAAGACTTCTTCTGGCCATTGGCATCTACACAACAATTTACAAAGATCATTAATAAACTTTAAGGTTTTCTATCACGCATCAATTGAAATATTGAACTCGTAAACCTGAAACCTCTTTCACCTGTACCGCCCCCTTCACCGACTGAATGGTTTCTCGAGTAGCTGGCATGTGAACTTTTCTACAGTTTCCCCAACCTCAAACAACTGTTAGGACAGTTGTTTTGCCTGCCTTTCCATATTATTAAATTACCTTTTTTTTATTTGGCTGCAAAACAATTTTTCCGAGAACTAGATCGCTGGCCTAGAAATCAAACGTGGGCGAAGCAGAGTTCGTTGGTTGCTTTTCAATATAGTTTCCCTAACAAACTTGTTTGAAAGCTGCACAAGTTTTGTTCACTATCGATTATTTGGACTGTTCTACGCGGCGGGACAAGATTAATATTGTGACCGACTATATCATTGGCTCGGTATACACTAGTAAGAACAATTATTCATATCAGTGTCGGTGGAAGGTGACTGAAAATGTTGACATTTCTAGAGCTATGAATATTTTCAGCACAGCCGCTTCGACTTGGTACGAAGAGTAGGGAGAATGTAATTTTTATACTTGTGAATGGTAATAGATTTGATACTGAACTCGTTCAGGTTTAATTTTACCCTAAAACTAAAAACTAGCATTTAGCTAAAATAATTACGGCCCCGCTCTGTTTATGTAACAGTGTTAAGTTCAACATTTTTCCCGCCAAAAACAGGTAATTATACAGTTGAATGGTTCTAACGTACGTCTCACTTTTAATAATCATTTGTACAAAAATGTACGCCTTAGCTTGGATTGCTTTGGTCTGGATTAGTGTGAATACTGCCGATTATATATACTTACGGCCGTGTTAGATGTCTGCTCAGAGATGGCCTTTTTTTCCTTTTATAATCCTTGTAAGGGTTAATTTTTTCTTAAACAAGCAGTATCTCAGTTTCACTTATAGTAGCGTTATTGTCTACAATATATTCTAACTTGAACAAATGACGAATTCAGAAAATAAGTCAGTAATAATGAATCTGACCATAACACAAGAACACTGGCATGAAAATCACCGTTAGATCGGTGATAAAACGATAATAAACTGTCTACTACAATGGAAATGAATATTGCATAAAGTTCAACTCACTTTTTATCCTTATGATTGGCAACGCAGCGGCCATGGCACAAAGAGTTAAGATTATAACTACGCGTGACATGATGCTTGAAAACCATCAATCCAGAATCAAAGATTAATCGGTGGCAATTAAGATCAATCCAAGACGGCGTTTTGCGAGGTGCGAAACTTTTGTCAATGATATATGTGACTCAATCACTTTGGAAAAATATCAACATGTGATTGGTTAGTTAGACAGGTTAGTAGTAAAACATAAGAGTCTTTACCAGTTGTTTGCTGTTTTGTGGGTTATTTCTCAATTTTGAGCTAATTACAAATAAACGCAGCCGAAACGATGTATTGAGAGGAAAGATTTTAACTTTAATTTGATTTCTTATTGCCGCAGTATGGAGTTGAACGACAGTTCACAGGCACATTAACCGTAGCCATTTTAGGTTTAAAATTGAGTAGCACGAGAAACTCTTTGTAGTAACAATTAAAACTAGATGAGCTATGATCATTAATACAGCGAACATACTTCTTGTAGTTTGCATTGTACAACTATCTGCTCCAGCACATATTACTATCGTGTCGATGGCCATAGAACTCGGGGACAGCCGGAAAATCTGTCCTTGCGCGTGGTGAAAGGGAATCTGGATTCCGGAATCGGGGACATTTTTGCCTGTGGAATAGGCCATTTCCGAGTTCCAAAAAATCTCACTTTCAAGACGAGGCTAAGGGCGAAACCTTTGTTGTGAAAATGAGTTTTATTTGCATCATAATTAAAAATCATTTTCATATCAATGGCTTCGCACTTAGCCTCGCATTGAAAATGAGAATTTTTGGAACTCGGAAATGGCCTATTCGAAATCTGTGAAATTTTTGGAATCCGGAATGCTCAAGGAATCCGGAATCCCACTAACAAATGGAATCCTAAATCAAAGTTCCACTGACAAAGAATCTAGAATCTAGAACCTGAAATTCGGAATCAAAGGCGTGGAATACAGGATCCAAGACTGTTTTGAGACATCGAGGACCTGCGAGAGAACTTACTGACCATATATATCTTTTGCTACTATCTAATGTCCATTTCATACAACATTTAGTTCCCCCTGAATGTGAAAAAGAGTAAGAAAAACGGCTGTTTTATTTAAATTCTACCCAATAGCTGTCAATTAACGGTAACACGAAGGGAATGATAACCAATAAAAGGTCAAACACCTGATCAAACGTACTTTCCCTTTTATATGATGATCCATAATAGAAATCATCAATATGAGTAGCTCAAACACAGTTCAATGTACCGATATCGATAAATATTCCAACAGAAAGAGATTTTCTTGGTTCTTTGCCCTTTTTTGGTTCTAGCCCTATAGCCGAGTTGTTGCTGCAGTCGAGGAGAGGTGGTTGGGTGGGAGGAGGGTGCTAAACGAGAGTTAGTTGTTAGTTGCCACAACAACGCTATTACCTGTTAACAAGTACCTCCACCCTACTAATTTTCTTCGTTGACTGTCTGACTCTCTCTAAGATAAAGACGAAATTTATAATGGGAAGAATCGCTTCATGCACATATTTCTCTGGTGATAAAAGGATGTTTAATTCCAACCCCCTCTCTTCGGCTTGTCTTTGCTGTAAAATTTAAAGAGACCTTGGGATAACTATGATGCTATACATATCATCATCGTAACGCAGTAACTCAGCTTGCTGATGAGCAAACGAACGGCATATGGAATCGAAGAGTATCTGATGGATTTAGTCCTTGTTTCCAAAAGTTCTTACTGGAAGCCTGTGAACACATGTATTTTCCAAGTCTTGAAGATTTTTCGATGTTTTTAACACATTATAAAGCTGTTAATCACTGAAAGAGATATTTTAAACAGGTAAACGACCGTAAACGATGGTGTACCCCATCTGGTTTCGGTAGAAGACCAACACAAAAGTGATGTTTCTTGTTCCAGCTATTCCACCCGATGATTTTACGAAATCGCGCGTAGCCTTCTTGCCAAAAACATCTAATTTAACGCTTGTTTCTGGCTCTCATTACTTAACTATGTTTCCATGAATCAAAACATAAAAGGCATTTCTAACGTTCATTTCTCTAGGGTTTTCTAAAAGGGCTATTCGAGTAGTACCATGCACTCTCATAGTACTAGTGGTTGTACTTCAGAAATCCATGTACACAAATTAGCCTCAGTTTCAGTTTCGTTGCCTCAGTTCGTAAGTTCTAGTGGTTGCAAAAATGAATGCATGCGCAAAATAAAATGAAGCCGTTTGTTCAACAGTCGAGAGATGCTTTGTTAGTGAATTATACTTAGCAGGTACCCGCATTTGTGAATATTGAGCTGTCTGGATTTACATACTTTACTGCCACTATGTATATTCGTTCCCTCGCTGTTTAATAATTAATAGAGTACCAGTATCTAACTCAGCTAAAGCCGCGCTTTTTTTCGCGTCAAGAAGCTTATACCGACAAAGCGCTGCAGTTGCGACGGTGTGCAACCGTCTTTTTTCGACTGCAGCATGAAGCGGGTTATAGCAGCGTTGGTCATGATGACGGTTCTTCCTCCTTTGATGTCTTATCCTTTGAAGGATTCTGCTAGTAAACTATTCAAAAGAGGTACGTTTACGTGTTCTACATAACTAAACTGAGCTTTATTTCAATCTGTAAAAAGGGTAACATTTTAAGAGGGAGATAATCTTGTGTTTTTTACGGATAGTATAAGTTCTGTCAGAATCATCGTATCCGGACTTATAGATTGGATAGCTCATCACGATTTCTTGAAATTAGCATTTTATTACCGATCGACTCTTACTTGAGGTTTTTGAACTAACAGAAAAAAATTTAGACGTTTTAATTATTTTTGAAATCTTACAATGTGTTTACAGTACATGAATCATTAACGTTTTGCAGCATAAATGCTCAAATGGGTTATGTTAAACTAAAGTCTTGTGCGCGTGTTTCTTAAACTATCCGTTTAAGCGGAAAAAGAGTAAATTAGTTACTCGTTGTAAGAATCGAAAATTGAAATCCGAGTTGCGTCTTGCCCTTCGCCCCAAGCCCTCTGTGTTAATATCAAACCATTTTGATTAAACTCGATTGCTATAATAAAAGTTCGTTTCAAGCTTCAAACTTTAGTTTTATGTCTTAACGTAGACAGTGAGGTAGGCTATACTTTCGTTTTTTAAAAAAAATTAAATAAATTAAGGAGACACAAGCTACCCCCCAATGATACGACTCGGCTGGTTTCCATAGAGGGCGAGTTTACACATGAAAGCAAAACATTAAGACCAATATTACATTAACTGCAGATTATATACAACAACCACTAAAAATACTAGCACATAACTAGAATAAGAATTGCATTGGATATTAAAGTGAACTGATATAAAGATATACAGTTTGGTATGACCCGATACACATGCATCTTAATGTTCTTTTTAAAAGCAGGGAGTGCCTTTGCTACTACTTGCTTCATTCAATTGTTGGCTCCAAAGCACAGCACGCGCGGCTAAACGTGTTAGTTTTAAGTGACACTGTGTTGGTGGGGAAGTGAAACAAGAAAATCTGGTATTATCAGCTGAGTTATTTTACCTAAGGCTCTTAGTTAACGTTTTTTGTGGTTTAAGGTCACTTACTTTATAGCCCCCTATTTTTTAGTTTATGGAAATGCACATCTTTATTTTTAGGAATAAAAGGTTTGAAAATAGGGGCTAAGCAACTGGGGCTTAAAGACAGGTTTATCGTCAGTCTTAACAAGCTAGTCGAGGTCACGTCTAGTCCTAACAATTGAATGCACTTTTCATGTGATAATGATTCTTTAATACAACTGATTACTGAAATACTGACAGTACCATTACTTAATGATAATATGATAAGCTCCATTTTTACACTAACCAATCGTCTTTTGTTTTCATTCCAGTGAGAAGGGAACAGCAACCTGACCAAGATGCGATCAAAAACGAAACTGACGTTCCTCCTGGCTTGGGTGGGACAAATGTTCGTTTTCCAAGTAAGTTTTTAAATAATATTTATTTGGTACGAGGGTTTTTTATTGGAGACAACCACTTTCAAAATGGTCGAGAAACAATTGCAGAAAAAGATGCTTTCTTTGCGCTTCTCGGGGGGGGATCTTTAAATAACAAAAGATTCTCATCTCTTCCGCTGTTCAAAGTTGTTACTGCAAGCTTAAAGTCGACCTTGGAATCCTTGTAACTGTAACAGCGGTGGAGAGGGGCTTAAACCATGCTACGTGCTTTGACAAACACCATTTTTGGCTTTGTAAGTCACAGTATCTCGAGGCTTTTGACAACTTGATGGAGCTTACATCTGGCTTACGATTAACGTGAAGCATGAGAATTGCCTTTTTCTTCGGTTAACAAACCTGCCTCATACTAAGTTTTGTAAATTTGACAATTTTACAAGGGAAATGGTTGACTTCAGACAAATTGTACCAAATTTAGATTGGAATAATATGTCATAAAAATTTTAATCTGTTTAGTTAATGATGTGATTAAAACTCAATCAGTGTTTCGTCTGCAAGATTCTCTTCTTGCGAGCATAGTGACTTATTGAAGAAGTGCCGCCTCTCAATTCTTCAGTTTTATACGCCAAGTTTTTAAATTTTTAGTTTGTGCATGGGCTTTTCACTTCATTTCAAAAGTCTTCAATACTTTGTAAGCGCGTTATCTTCCTTTCAGTTTGTATCTATAGACTGGGAATGGCAAACAGGTTTGTCATTCGAGATCATCAGATCACTGCTTCGTCTTCGTACCCGCGTGCTCATCTACAACCTCACATGGGTCGACTGGACAACCCGTGGGGTTCCTGGTGCGTAAAACGAAAACACCCAGGACCGCATTACATGCAGATCGATCTTGGTATGTACAGAAACATTATATACTAGTGTGTTTTTTTTAAAATTTTCCTTAGTCAGTTGAAGCAAAATGTCCACACTGTAAATCAGAAAGATCCGTTTTAGCCCTAATAATGAGGCCGTTTCGGTGAGTAAAATACAGCCCAATTAGCTAGGGCTGATTTCGACCCAGGGGCTGAACTGGGGCCCAGAGCGGGTTGGAATAGGCTTTTGATGGGGCTGTTTTAGCTTAAATTATACTCTAATGGCTCTGAGAGAGGCTGAATCAGACCATAGCCTGCAGGGCTGAATTGGCACTTTCGGGATCAACCAGATATTTTTAATTGTCAGTGCAATCACTCTTTTTTCACCATATTTTCACCCGAAACAGATTGATAGAGTGAACTAAACGAGGGTCTCTTAATGCAATTTCAATTGCCAATTAACCCCAGTTAACGCAAGCTTTATGGATCCTGTTACCCCCAAATCAGTGTCCCTGTCCTGAGTTCGTTTTGGCCGGGAAGAATGCAATGCACACCCTCAATGCAAACCTAGGGTTTCTTAGCTAAATTCGGGGCGCTGTTCAGACTCCTCGTCAATCCCTGAGTTCATTTGGGCCAGGCAAACTGTAATGCGGAGTAAAATGAGTTACGTAAGGAGAAAATGAAATATCTAAGCAATAACGCCATGATCTATTTGTCCTTCTATTCCATGCTACACCAAAGGCAGTCGAAGCCTATGACACATCGCCCAAAAATGAGACGTTATGGGTGTAGGGGATATTGACATATTCTCCAACACAGCTTTGTACTGTGTATGAACTCCTATGGGATTCTCCAGTGGTTCTTTTAGCTCAATTTTCATTATATTTTAAAGGTATCACAAGACTGGTCAGCGGTGTCATTACGCAAGGTGCGCGACATACGCCTGACTATGTAGCTCAATATCGCGTCAGCTACAGTCTTGATGGTCAGCGTTGGACTGTCTATAAAGAGAATGGCACAGAAAGGGTAATACAATATATGTACATGTGTCAATTGTGATCATATTACTTTATTGAGTGGATTGACTCTGGACCGCCCTGAATACTACCTCCCCAACCTTCCAGACGGATTATCTCATGAAGACCTGATGATCATTGATAAACTGCCCCCTCAACAGGCTTCACAAGGTTTAGTTGGGGAGCACGGAACAAGCAAGAAGCGCGAGAGGGGGATGATGGGAACTAGCGTAGAACGTGAGCTTTCCCCCTTCCTCCCGCCAAATGATCACGAGTGACTGAGGATGAGGCAGATTGTTAAGATAACAGGGTTTCCGAATTCTCTATCATATATTTGCGGAACTATTGTTGACCAGTTCCGCGTGTTCAGCTTGTGGGGACGGGGCGAAGAGATGTGAGCAGGAAAAACAGCCAAGGTGTAGGGTAGCGTGTGAGAGCCAAGGATACCTCCTTTCCCTCCCCTCTCCCCAACTATCTAAACGCCTGAAACAGGCTACATTGATGTTTGTTATTTGACGGACATCTTCACTTCCATCAGCTTTTTCAAGGTTTCTACTATCAGTTCACAAATCACTTCCGTTACCGTGTGGCAGCAAGATACATAAGAATTCTTCCCCAGGCTTTTCGTGGTTATCTATTGTGCATGAGAGCAGAAGTAATTGGTTGTTCATTTAGTCAAGGTAAGGCAATGCTAACAAAAATCAATGATAACCTTTTTCAAGCTGACTAGTTTTGGCTTTTCAAACTCCACGTAAGCTAAGTGGGCGGCGTCTATTAGACAGAGGGCGTTTATTAGAGAGGGGTGTCTAATAAAAATTTTACATCGCAGGGAAGGCTTTTATTTGAGCGAGGACGTCAGTTAGACCATTTACGGTACACCAAAGTTACTTTTGGCGTAATTAACACTCTTAATCTCTTTTTTTCCTGAAGCATCCTTAATATCCAAGCTAGAAAGTATTTTCTTGTAATTTATCAGACTGTGATGGCTAGGGGAATTGCTGGTTTCAACCACGCGACAGGATAACCATACCGGTTAACAAAACAACAAACGTTTTTTTTTCTCGTCCCCCATCAAGCATTATGGGCTCTCTAACTAATTTTGTTTCGTTCGCCATGTTTAGTTAATCTGGCATTTAACCAGACAGCCCAGCAGTCAAGCACGCAGGGGGACGCTGTAGCCTCGAAAGCCATTGATGGAAACTTCAAGGGTGGTAAGAGTTATATTCAGGATCTAAGAAACCCTGAGTTTCAAAATTCTTACTTAGTATCATAACCGCTTTTTTCTCCTCTAGATTCCTGCTCCCTGACCCAGACTCAAGACAAGCCTTGGTGGCGAGTGGACCTGGGATACAGCACGACGATAAGAGAGCTCTATATCGCTGGCCCTCCAAATGGCACCGAATTAAAAGAATTTGAGATCAGGATTGGTGAAAGTTTAGAAGACAATGGAAATAAAAATTCAAAATGTGGCGAAAAGCACAGCATAAGGCCTGGTGAGATTAAAACCATCAGCTGTAATTTGACTGGACAGTACATTAACATCCAGGTGCCTGAGAGTGGAAAGGCTTTGTCTCTTTGCGAGGTGGTACCTTACGGGATGGGTAAGTGATATATCAAACACTAGACACAGTGTTTCACCCCTTTTCAAACACTGAAAACAGAGTTAAAAATAAGACGCACAGCGGAGTGATTTTGACGAACTTCTATTATTGTTTGAAATTTTAAGGAAGCACGAGATCTCTTGTTTGATATGACGTTTCAATCAACGTGATTTTCAAAGAGACATTTAGGATGGAAAAACAAGCGTTTTTCATAAGATATCCTGCAAGTAATGGCGTTGTTTTCCCATTGGTTTTGTTTTATGAACTTCAACTCGAACTTGGATTCCAATTTGAATATTCAAACTCAAAATCAAATTTAATCTGTGCTGGAAGTGTAGGACTTTAACTCAAACTCAATTTCAAACTCAAAATCTAATACTATACTCACTCAAAGTCGATCTCGATTGCGAATTGCAACCGTCGAAGTCAATGTAAACAAAATGCTACAACACTAATTAATATCGAACTCAAAGTGAAACTCAAAATCAGTTAAGGTCGTGTTGTCTTCAGTGAACCTTATCGGTTGGATTTTTCTTTAATAATGGATTACCTCAAATGAAAACAAAAAATGTGTGCTGATACTAAAAGTAAACGTTTTTTGCAGATCCAAAGATGGTTAACTTCAATCCTTACATAGTTCTGCAATACGTAAACTATGTTCGAGCTCAAAAGTATATGCAACAGCTTCGACTACAGCAAGAAAAATTAAGAAACGCAACCTTAGAGGCCCAGAAAAAAGGTCAACAAGTCTTACAGCAAGGACAACAAGTAAGCTAAGCCACTTTAGTTGGGTTTTGTGATTAGCTTCATCTAACCGAATTAATTGACCATCAATTGTCTGAAGGTAGGTTTGAAAAATGTAGCCATAGTTTGTAAACATAACCTGGGAAAGACTGGAAAAACAGCATTGTGAGTTCCACGATTCTATAGCATTACCAGCTCAACTAACTCAGTAAAGGCTTATTAGATCAGATTATATCTCTGCGTGTACGTTTACTGGTTTAAGTAAAGTAGTCATTTCATAAATAGGTTGAGCATGATCGTCCGGGTGAACGTAGTCCTTAATAGGACTGTTGTTTGCAGTGACTGACGTTTGACAACCTATGGGGTAGTAATCTTTAGGGTCAAAGTGAGTATCACGTCAGTTGATGTTATTAAGCTTTATTAAACTCTGTTTATTGACCTGATTGATCAATAATGTCGCGATGTTATTTGTTGTCGGTTTCTTAAGCCTTGATGCTATTGGCTATGAAGACTCTAAATAAATGTGATTGATGCCGGCATTCTGATACGACTTTTGCCACAGTTTAACGGTCGTATATTTTTAGTCCAATTCATTCTATCATTGTCAGTTTTTCTTGAGTCCGTCAATAAGTTCTTTTCGCTTTAAGGCGATTGGTGGAGCTCAACAACAGGGACAGCAGTTGGCTGGCCAGGGTCAAGCTGCCATTGGTGGAGCACAGCAACAGGGCCAGCAACTACTTGGGCAGGGCCAAGCCGCTCTTGGCGGATTTCAGAGTAAGTCATTAAGTACCACAGTCATTACATAGTTGAATTCTGTTCTGACTACGATATAGTAACTAAATGAAAAAATGACTTATAAAACCCACCCACGCAACTGAACATCATCAACAACAAGCAACATCAAGGAAACAAGTTAACAAAATCTCATATTTTGTTTGAAAAGTAAAGAATGGCTTGACAAAAAGTATATTGCTTTAGGTTACCTTATGTGTTACCCACATTTTGCTGAACAGAGAACCGCTCGGATTTATTATTATTTTTTGCTATGCCTTTCCCTTTTAAGAACGAATGAAACCTTTCCATACTATTTTTAATGAATGGAATTGTAGATTATGTGTTAAACTTCATCTGAAATAAAAAGTCCTTAGTGGTAGTCTCTTGTTGTAGATCAAGGCCAGCAAGTATGGGGACAAGCGCAAGGGGCACTGGGTAATGTCCAAGGTCAAGGTCAGCAGGCCTTTAATCAATTACAAAGTCAAGGTGCAGGCATGGCAAACCAGTTTCAAAACCAGTTTAACCAGTTCCAGAATCAGGGTGCTGGAATGTTGAACCAGTATCAGAATCAAATGAACCAATTGCAAGGTCAAGGAATGGGTATGGTAAACCAGTTCCAAGGGCAGTTTCAAAACCAGTTTAATCAGTTACAAGGTCAAGGTCTTGGCATGGTAAACCGTTACCAAGGACAACTACAAAACCAGTTCAACCAGCTTCAAGGGCAGGGTATGGGAATGGTAAACCAGTATCAGAACCAATTACAAAACCAGTTTAACCAGCTACAAGGCCAAGGGGCAGGAATGCTTGGCCAAGCACAGAACCAAATGAACCAGTTTCAAGGTCAGGGGATGGCATTGGCCAACCAGCTTCAAGGGCAAGGACAGCAACTGGCCAATCAGTTACAGGGACAGGGAATGGGATTGGCCAATCAAATTCAAGGTCAAGGCATGGGTGCTGTGAACCAGTTACAAGGGCAAGGTGTGTAAAATCCTGCACTTTTATGTTTACCATTGTTTTTATCTTGCTTACGGGCCAGGGGATTAGGGACCAAAGTTTGTCGGGCAGAACGAGTGGGAATGGCCTCCTTAGCTTAGCAGGCGATTGAAAGTTATGAGCGCAAGAAAGAAAGGGGTGCGCGAGGGAGACGCGCCACATTAGTTCGAAGAGGCGCCAGCTAAGCAGGCTGGAGTGGGAATATAGCCGGATTATAGACCCCGTTCATTTTCTACTTACCTTGTGTTCGAACCAAACGTTTTTAAAAACGTACTTTTATCAATGGATGCCTGTTTAACTTTAATTGAATTATAATTAGCATTCTTTTTAACTTTTTGATAACTGATCAGTGTAAACCTTGCACGTTTAACTGATCAACAAACCTTATGTTAGCCAGGTGTTGTTTAACCGCTACCGCGATTGTTTTGGTCTACCAAAGATATCTTGGTCCTTTATGCTAGCATGACATTAAAATTTCATTCCAGGTATGAATGCATTTAACCAGCTTCAGGGACAAGGGCTGGGAGTGGCCAATGACTTAACAAAAACTACAGATGGTCTGACTGAAAAGGTAAAAACTGCACGATACACAAATTAATAAGTCTACTCAAAATCTCTTACAAAATTTTATAAACCCGGGGCGTTAAACGGGGTTTATAACTTGAACTTTATAGCAGGGATCTTGTGTGAACCGATGAACCGTTGGCCTTAACGCCTCATTTTGACGAGCAGGTCAGCTGGGGCAATAACTGCTTTTGCTCTTTCTTCCAAAAGTGAGAAGTACTACACTTGACGACCTTTACATTGGTATCATTATGATCCTTGTAAAGGCCGTGTAAAGGCCGTATAATCTCCTTGAGATATCAATTCTGATAGAATTTTTGTTTGCTTCTCTGCACAGGCTAAAGACTTTTACAAAAAGGTAGGATTGAGTTTTTGATTAAAATTGAGAAATTATTTTAAAAAACTATTTGCGATGTGTTAAATCAGTTTTTTGATACGATATATTTCTCATTTTGACACAACTGTCTCTACAATTAATCTGTAGTTAAAGCCCTGGGTTACGAAGGCGGAGGACTTTTACAATGACCAAATCAAGGGACATTATTTTGACATGGCAAAAGGTAAGTACTTTAAGAATTTCAAAGTATTGTACACAATGATTGAGTCAGCATGTCCTAAAAGCAATGACAAAGGGAAACAGCTATTTAGTTTTATCAGACGTTGAATAATTCTTACTTGCAAGGTGAAATGCTTAATGATTGTACAACTATTAAAATTCACTGTTAATAGAGAAAGTCGTTACGTCACGTTGCCACGGTAGCGAAATTTCTGGATGAAAACAAACTAAAAAAGTCACTTCAAAAGTAAATTCGCACTGTTTCAAACTTCATCAGTCTTATTCAGTTTCATTTAATTTGTTAAATGTTGGCAAAATTTTCTGGGGCTGAATCCGAAAGGATCGTATCTGAGTTTAGAAAAACAAAAAGAAAATTTTTTGTGCTGTGTTCACCAGGGAGCGGGTGCGTGAAATTAGGAAGTTCCATGTCGCAGTCGTGCAACGACGGCTAAGAAATGTACAAAAAAGCGTGGTGCACTTGCAAAGTTGTTGTTTTGCTAATATTAACCTATTGCTTCTTTGCCGTTCTTGTTGTTTGTTGTCATCCACAATTTTTGCTGCCATGACAACGTGACGTCACACTTCCCCTCTCTATTAGTCACGTTTTAGACGCAAACACTGAGGGTATTTTCGCGCACAGTGTACACAACACATTTTCCATACAGTGACTACAGCCTGCAACATTTTGCCTAACATCTGCAGAGCGGTTGCCAAGCCTACGACGAGCAATGTTTTTGTTCAGCGGTTAAATTTATGGGATAAAAGTTGGAGGTTGAGTCACAGTGAGTTAAAATGTCGCAGAATAGGGACGAGATTCTTATACTGAAATATTTTGCACCATGCATATTTTCAAAGGCGGTCACGCATGCACGCTAATTATAAACCATTGTATGCAATTCCCTGTCACGGTCTTGAATTCTTGCCGTGCTTTTGCATAAATAATTCTGAGTTCATTGACACTTTTCTTAAACACAGAGTGGTTCGATCGTGGCAAAGAATATGGTTTGAAAGCTTTGAAAGTCTTTGAAGAAGCCGTCTTGTCTGAGTTTAAAGGACTGATCGGTGATGTTGGAGGAGAACTTTCGTCAATTACAAAATACGATACGGCCGATATTAAAGGCTTGTTGGTTAATGTGGATAAAGAGAAAATTAAAAAGCTTGTGGAGAGAGTCAGACCCCTTATTCCGGAATATTACGACAAAGCAAAGAGTATGGCTACAGATATTTTTGAACAGGGAAAAGAAGAGTTCGATAAAATCAGAGAGCAAGTCGAACAGGAGGTAGGATAAATTTTAAAATTATTTTACTTTTAGTAGGAGCGCAAAAAGTCCGTCGAATCATTGATAAGACATTTTCGGAAGCGATTACATTGTCAGTACTACTCCTCACTATGGTACGAAACTTTATGTTATTCGCTTGGGTTACAATCCAGCCAAATTCCCTAAAAAGCCCTCCAAAGAAAAACGTTTGAACAAAATCGGAAATAGCCGAGGGAATTAAAACACTAGGTTGAGAGGTTTTATAAGGTTTTGTTTTCCGTTTTATTACGGAGTGGAATATAATTTATTTCCCTTCCACTTGAAATAAGAAGGACATTCAGCCTTAAGCATTTTAGCAAAGCCTGGGGGTACTTAAGGGAAGTTCGGAAGGAGATCTGCCGCCGAGTCCTGCAAACCGTTTCTTTCGCTACCCTGACGCCAAATAGCGAAATTGTACACCCTGTTCAAGACTCGAAACATACCCATTAAGGCGAAATAAGGGAGGGTCCCCGAGGAAACAAAGAATAACACTCAAACCACTTTGAGTGCGCTCTGTTTCTAGGTTGGTAACGCCCAGAAAATGGGCGAGGACCTATCACAAGAGGCCATGGGGTTAGGAGGCGAACTTCAACAGCAAGGCATGAGCGCAGTTGGACAAGCGCAGCAAGCAGGAATGGGTGCACTGGAAAATGCAAGGCAAACAGGGCAAGGACTTGTCCAACAAGGGCAACAGAGTTTCAGTAAGTGACGATTAAGTGTACACTGTTTCGTATGATCGCCGCCCCTGTACTATAGCGACTCAACGCCGTCTTCAGGCCTTCCCCTCCCATTTTCCAAGGAATAACTCGGGGACGATGTTAAGACACACTGTTTGCATTTATATGGGTCAGCTGAAATGATAAAGGTCCGAGTTATAATACAAACGTTCCATCAAACACTTGATTGACGATTAAGGTGCCGAAATTCAGAAAATTTAGCAGATGCTTTGTTCATTAAAACAAAGTGAATTCTTTATAACATCTCAGTCAGCAAAAACTTAACACTCGTGCGATCGTCCGAATAGCAAACAAAGTACGGAACGGAAGTTCAACCATGAAATACATGTAAGTACGTTTTTACAAAAGGTTTACAATGTTCATCATCATTCGCCTCTTCCGGTCGGTTATGTCATACATTAAGGCATAACCCTAAGCCTTGTGAAAAACTTTGTAGTTACCTTTTGCAGTAATCGTCGTCCTAAATCATATTAATTACCTCTTTCTGTACTTAGGATAAACTTTTACTTCAAACAAACTCAAACTGCAACACAGCACTTTTGTTCATAGTAACGTTTTATTGAAAATTCTCCTACTTACCAAGTCTTACTTGTTCTTTGTTAAATTAACGTTTCCCTAATTGACAGATCAATTACAGCAACAAGGAATGGGAATATACGGTCAAGCTCGTCAAACAGGTATGGGCGCTTTTAACCAGATGAGGCAGCAAGGAATGGGAGCCTTGGGACAAGTGCAGAGTATGGGCCAGCAAGGATTACAGCAGGTGCGTTTGCAACTGTGGCAGTCAGTTTAACGTTGGTAAAAGGTAAAGGCATACATGAGCCAAAGGCCCAAACGACCGTAGGTTATCCAGGTTTCCTTAGCATGAAGCATGCCTAGGAGTATTCCTACTCTCCTTGGACGGGATACTAGTCCATCGCAGGGTTAATCCCAGGAGTATGTCGCCGGGGTGAAGAGAGACAAAGTGGAGTAAAGTTCCTTGTCTAAGGAGACAACTCCACGGTCGAAGGCTTGAACTCCGGACCTCCAGATCCGGAGTTCGAGGTGTTCGACTTCGGCCACACACGCCTCCATATCAACGTGCTCTATCGTAAACTTCCCGCTTATGAACAACAGCCTCCCCAGTTATAGTCCCATCTACCTGTATACCATGAAATACATCCGACCCCCACCCCCCTCTAGTTAGCTTGTACTGAAATGAACTTGTTTTTTTACACCGTTTTGAAGCTTAAAAAAGCGACTAAATTCAAAAAGCATTTTGATCAGCACTGACAAGTAGCTTTTTTTTGTTGTTGTTGCCTGTTTTGAAAGGCTTTTTTAGTCCGGTTAGCTCCTCCCTTCCCCGTTTATAAACCCTCGCAACACCCTCACGAAGTTGTTAAGCCCATGGCTTATAAGCAGAAGTTAACGGTATTGTAGTAGAGAAACGGTCATTCTGTAATACACTCTTTGCTAGGATTCCCGATTGCTGGGTGGTTATTTAATGGTAGCGAAACTCCCAAAACGCGCTCCCAAAGCCCTTTCGGGTTCATAAGAAAGTGCGTGTCCGTTCCTTGATCTGCATGTGTATGGAAAGCCGATAACATCTCAATTTTTTTGGCAAAAAATTCCTCTCCATTTAATTTCTCTATTTCACTATACTGGACTTGGGGAACTGTATACCGAACTTTTACCATTTTGTAATGTTCACTCCTGTTAATAGTTGTTTCTTGAAAGGGAACTCCTCTTTGTGCATTAGATAAAATATTTTCAATCTTCCAATTTCATAGGCTCAAAATCTTCAGGGCCAACTAATGCAAACTGGTCAGGGTTTGTATGGTCAAGCACAGAACATGGGCCAGGGGCTTCAAGGGCAACTCATGCGGACAGGGCATGGTTTATACGGACAGGCCCAGAGCATGGGATCTGGTCTACAAAACCAACTACTGCAGACTGGCCAGGGGCTGTATGGTCAGGCACGGAGCATGGGTCAGAGTGCCTTCCAACAAGGAAGGTCGCTCGGGAGTCAGCTGCAGCAACAGGGGCAAAACGCTTTCCAACAAGGAGTAGGAATGGCGCAAGGTTTTCAAGGTCAGATCAGAGTTATATATAAAACACCATAATCCACAATCTTTCTGCATCGCATGTCACTTAAATTAAAAGAAGCTGTGTATATGACAGGTATCAACACCTTAGTCAAGTTTTAAAGCAACATGTACGAATAGTTTTAACACTGAGGTGATTTGAGACGAGCTATGAGAAGAATGGGACAAAGATCGACATTGCAAAACTATATATGGTTTATAGTGGTCAGTTCACAGTTGTTTTTACTGAGCTTTTTAGCGCAGACGAGCAGGGAGGTCTTCACTGCAAGATCGAGTGATCGCCTTTCTAAGAATTTAATCAGATTTATGATTTATCTCAGGCTACCTTTCTGCAGTGTAGCATACACTTTTGAGCCTTCACAATCTTTTCGCTTTCAGACGGGTTTTGTACGAGGACATAAAAAGTTGAAGCAGTCAAAGTCAATGTCAAGGCTCTAATGTTAATTTCCAACTTTTTGCAGGGATGGGTCAAAACTACCTTGGGCAAGCAATGAATATGGGTAACGCCTATCAGCAGCAAGGTATGAATCTAATGAATCAAGGGAGACAAATGTCACAGCAAATGGCTGGCCAGGTACCGAGCCCACAGCAACAATGGCAGCAGCTCTTAAGCATGGGACAGAATCTTCAACAGCAAGGTGCACAGCTGCAGAGTCAGGGGGAGGCAATCAAGAAACAGGGAGAGGAGGCAGCTGGTGGTGGAGCTGTCTAGAAGGAGCGGAAGGGGAAATATGAACATTTCTTCCTCCCCCGGGGATATTCCTGCCAATTTAGGATAGAGGTGTTTCCCGCTGATGTTTGAAACATTTTCCTCTTCAGCCAGAGAGCACGAAAGGATCTTTCCCGTGCGTACCCTCGGGATTTTTGTACTGTGGCTTTTGCTTTTGTTTCGAGTTGTTGATGGTTTTGATAAAAATGTTTTGTTGTGGTTTCTGCATTTTTTTTTGCCTGCTTGCAAAGAGAAAAGTTGTTATCGCATTCTAACGGAAGAACCCATGAGCACTGGAAAGAAGAGCAAACAAAGAATGAAAACATAATTTTGTATAGTATAGTTCTTGTTATTAATAAGTAATTGACACCTTAAATTTACTTTTGCGTGTTTTGTACCTGTCGTTATCAACACTCTTTCCTTATAAGAAAACCAAACGATAATATTTGGTCTAACTTACAATGGTTTGTAGAATTATCAATGTCGCTTTTAATTTTATTTCAAACATTTTCCTTCCAGCTACCGTAAAAATGTGCTCAATGTCAGTTACCTGAAAATTTTTGTTGGAGTGACTCGTTAACACGTACGATCTCTTTCTAGATGCCCTAAAATTGAACAATTCAAGAATTCATTTCCCTGCACCCTCTTGTTAGATATTTGCAAAATAAAACATGGCATAAGGACATTAAGATTGGCATCTTACATGCAAGTTCACGCTGGTCCCAGTAAGTTGTAGTTGGGAATAAAATAAAACAGTAAGTGGAATAATCAATCGTAACTCTAATAACAGACTCACTCGTAAGCGGAAAGCTAACAGTGGCTTTGACTACAAAACTGCTTTTCATTTCTTAAACAGTCTTTGTATCCACATTCCCGTGAGCAGCCGTAGCCGACGCCTTTGAGAGATACGATTCAAGCCTTCCGTTTCTAAGTTCCCTTAACTGAAGAGTGACTTATTATACAGTAAGGGTTTTTTTGGTTTTGATCGGTCTCGAAATAACGAGGAAAGAACACAGTGATTTGTTTGAGTGAAGCCAGCCCCCACGGAATGTTTCGCCGTATCCCCTGAGTACTTACAACTCAGAAGGCCCTCTGTTGCATCTTTAATAGACAGTCAGTTAAAATGTGGTTATTATGGCTTCACCACTATTCTTTATTTCGACATTACATTATCACGTCTATTTTTATAGACACGTACTGCCTCAGCTTGTTTTTATGACTATATGGCTGTAGACATTTTTTTTCAACTATGCAGTGGAAAAGACGTTACATTTCTCTAACTCTTACGGAGTCTTAGCTATGTAAAAAGACAAGGCGTAAAATTTCAGCTGCTTGCTCCAAACACTACGTAGAGTGGAGTTAATTTGATTCAGTCTCGATCTCTGTTTTCACTTGTCCTTCTTGCGACGGCCGCCCCGTCAGTACCTGAAACTAAGATGGTTTTCCGTTATAGTAAGCACAGGACGTTACGATCTTACGAGAATAAGGAGACTCTTAAGATTCAACATAAAAATAAATGGTCGCTTTACGCAACTTCTGCCTGGTGTTTTTCATTGTTATACTGTAGAAGCAAGACACGTTACTGTGGGACTATTTGAAGTCAAATCGAACTAATTGAAACAAAAGGATGTCAGCCTTAGGAAAGACATGTTATACAAAAGTTTCAATACATCACTTGTCGACTATGGTAATATAACAGTAAAAGTAGTACAATTGTACACGGAACTACAAATACAAAAAGTTCAGTCAATGTTCTGTATGTTCTTTTGATACAAAACATAAACTTTCATTGCTTCTATTCATTATGTTGTAGTTAGAGTATTGTAGAATATCGATGAATCTGGTGAAACTATTGCTTATAAATCAATGCCAAGTGACCAAGCACCTGGTTTTCTACTTCGAAGAAATTCTTATTGACCGAGCTCTATCTTATCGAAATGTGGTGATTAGATTGCCACAGACCGCTCGGAACAGCATTCTTGCGTGCAAATTTTCGTGCAATGTCTGGAGCAGATGGCTGGACACGAGGAAGGGGCGGTTACAGTAGCCTCAAGAAGGGGTGGTCCATGATGATAACCTTGACTGCCTGGAGTGGATGGTGTCTCAGACTTTTTCACGTGATGATCTCGAGCGTTTGCTAAGCGTCTTAAATTGTCAAGCACACTACTTTGACAACAGTGGATTGGACATGAGCCGATGCACTTCGTCCTACATACGACAGGACAAGAGGTAGGCCACGGTTGTTGTTGTGGCTGGAAGTAGCCCTGGGGCTGTTGCGAGTAGTATGGAGGTGGAGGAACTCCAGTGGGGGAAATGTACACCCTTCGTGTTGCTGGAATTAGCTTTGTGCAACAGGCAACTGGGCAAGGCCCCATGCATACAGTGCCACACACCGCTGGACACGATGGTTGCGGTGGGAGCGCCATTGGGTAGGTTGGGGGTGGAGCTGGTACAATATAAGAGGGTGGAGGGGAAGATGGGTAGGGAGCTGGGATGATCATTGGCGGAGAAGGTGGTGGGAGGGGTGGAAGTGGAAGTGGGGGAGGGGGTGGTGGTGGTGGTGGTGGAGGAGGAGGAGGTGGTGGTGGTGGTTTAACATTGTGAATGACAGGCAAAGGGAGGGTGCAACATTCATCAGGACAAGTTGGTTTGCAGGAATGCGCACAGTACGTGGGACAGGAACTTGCAGTGGTGCAACAGTGACCAGGGCAGAAGTCATCACAGTTTGATTCACAGTGGCCGGGACAGGGCTGGTTCACGTGGAAATGAAGACTTTTTAACTGAGGTGCAGATCGAACTGTAAAAAATGGTACATTTGGATAAATTATTGCAGTCAGACCTTATTTTCTTGCTTTAACTTACTTAACTAAAAAGGTTCATCTGGGCAACCGGATTGTCGTTGAGACGGCCAATGAATATTTTATATTGCCTCCAGCAGTTCTAAATGTAGTTAAGTGCTCAGTACCCTATACTGTCGTTTTCATCTAAGCAACTGTCTTAATAAAGAGAAGTCGTTTCGTTACTTTGCCATAGTAGCAAAATTTCTGGATCTCTACAAACTGTGGTCCATTAAATATATCAGGAAATAAAAAAAAGGAGAAATTGATATTTATGACCGTTTCCTGTGCATGATTGCACTAAGGAACAAAATGGTAGCCCGTACTTTTCTTCCATAATTTCAACAATGCAAATGGCCGTATCGATCAAGTAAGATTGTTGAGTTCTAGAAATTTTTTCATCATGGTATCGTACACTTCTCTCTTTCTAGTATCAAACGACTCTTTCTGTTCTAAAATACTTGAAACATATGGAGCTCAACTAACCTTTGGATTTGCAGTAGCCCCAATGTCCGTCCGTGTCGTAGTTGTAGGTGGTACTGCACCATGGTCTTGCCTGGTTTCCATGTATACAATGGTGATAAATCATATTGTTGTACGTGAATGGGAACTGACAGCATGATCCACCGGAGTTTCCACCGTGTGTCGGATGACAATCTGGAGACAAGTAAAGGAATACAGCACATCTAAAACCCTGAACACCAAAGCAGGAAGATACTCTGGGAAATGGAAATAGGTGGTTATTTCATGTGGGAGGTTGATACAGATGGCTGCAAAGCCGTGTTAAAGCTCATAGTTTACCTTTATGGACTTTAAATATTGCATTGTCTTCTCTTAAGGGTCCATTTTGATCAGTTTTACTCAGTTGCGATCCAGTTGGACTCCAGAGTCTAGTTATGCTACTGGACCACTGCTTTTGCACTCAATATAAGCCTACTTAAACAGTTTTGTCCATTTGCCGCCTACTTAGTGAGCTTTGGTTGGTGCTATTGTGGTCAAGTTGGAGTTTGCAGCCTACTCTTTGCCAATGTGAACTGATTTTGATTTAGTGTTAGTCACGTTGTAACTTTATTGGTAGGTGTCTATGTGAAGTCAGTGTGAGGTCTAGGAAGACTTCACCCGAGTTACTTTAAAAACCGTAATACGTTTTTGTCTACACAGAATTTATTGAGTCCCGGTTATGTCCAGCTGGACATTCGTAAGCTTAAGTCAAAGGGGGCTTTTTTTAAATCTAATGTTATTGCATGGGGCTTAAACCACATTCACAATTCCCTTTCCAAAAATATTGGTTGAGAGAAACACATGTAGCGATTAAAAGGCTGCGTCTGATGTCTGTTATAACAATTAACTGAAATTAAGTTACACAACTCACTTTGACAGTATCCCCATTTTTGATCGGCGTTGTAGTCTCTCGTGGTTGAACACCACAGCTTCCTGCTGTTAACATCAGTACAACTGTTGTACTGCTCTCCATTGTACGTGTAAGGGAACATACAACAGGCTCCTTCAGAGTTTCCACCGTGAGTTGGGGAACATCCCAGCACTAAGAGACAACACATATAAAAAGCAAGGAGAAACTTGCATTGAACTATAATTGTTACGTTCGAGTTTATGGAGCTAAGATCCCGTTGAGACGCGAGCTGGGTACTTCCATTCGTTCAGAATAGGTGTGTACCACGAAGATTCTAAGGCCCTGGTTATTGGGAGCAGTTTGTAGTCCCCTTTAATTTTGTTAATATATGTATATATATATATATTTTTAATCAATATTGTAATACAGTTTGGTACCAATAAAGTTGTTGGCCCTAGCCTTAAAAAATGAAAAAAAAAAAAAAATGGAGAGGGAATACCACTTTTACTGTCAAACTCGAAAAAACCATGAGCATCGGATTGTTTATTATGTTGTGACCAGTTACAACGGAGGTAAGGCAATTTGGTGGACTTTGGCCTACACGAAAAATGGTCGTCCATAGAAAATAATGTATTAATGAATTGGAAAAAGTGAAAGGAGCCATTGAAATTGAGTGAAAAGAAAATTTTATTACATTCACCTTTCTAACGCCTTTTTAAATTCAAACACGGAAAGTTATAGAGCAGGGATATAGGTTTGAACAATGTATGATTTCTTTTTCCATTGTGAATTAGTAAGACGAAATTGTCCTTTTAAGAGGGCGTGGCCCATGTAAAGACTTACAAAATTCATGTGAATCTGCATTAAAAATATGAAACTCTAACTCTAACTCTAAGTCCAATTTGCTGTCCAAATGAAGGTCTAACTCGAACTCGAATACAAACTCGATGTTTCCAGACTTCTCTTCAAAACAAAGATCAGAAACCACTAACAAGCCACGAACCACACACTAATTACCGTAGATGCGGGTTGTTTAGTTTTCCGATGCCTAATTGGCTTTTTTGTCTCAACAAAATAGCAACCCTGAAATAGCTGTGAGTTTTACAGTATAAGGACTAAATTAAAAAATGGTACCATCTTAAGAAGAAAACCTACACACAGAATGTATTGAACAAGTCGTCTTTATTTGACTATCTTTCCTTTAGAACGATATTTGCTCAACACTTTGACGGGTACAGAGGACAGAGGATAACAGAGGTAAAGGTCTTACCATCTAGCTAATACAATCAAGCTAAGAATTTTTTGAATGTACTCTGATGATTTCAAAAACTGCGTAGCGAAATAGGGTAAAGCTAAACACGTCATTGAGAAGCTTTGAAAGGGTTCAGTGCTACCAGGAGCCATTGTTGATAACCTTAATTCGATATTGGAATCTGCTTTTTATTGTGACCAACGTCAACCCTCTAATACAACCGCAGGCATTATGTTCACTTATGCGTTTGTGGCGTTTACGACTGCTTAAGTCTGGGACCCGGCTGGTAATTTGACATTAAAGTGGATATTTTATTTAAGTTCCTAAATGCTTTGCAGTTGTGGACCAGACCTTACCTTAATTATGCCAAAATAAGGCTTGAAACCAAGGTAAAAAAAAAAAACATTATAATTGAGCTGCTGGCCACAAATTTTCATAGACGCCTATTTCATCAGACTTCTGCAGATGTATGAAATTTACATCTACACTATGAATGTTCATTTTAGGCTTTTAATCATTTGATAACGTAACCTAACAGTGGCCTGACAGTTGACAGTAGCACTTTAGCATATTCAGTAAAACTTGGCCTTGTCTCAGTGATCCTAATCATTGATGCATGGACGTACAGAAAATGCCCGAAACTATAGCTACTCAATCACAATTATGACTTTGCATTGTTATGGCATCGCCTTTTTTTTTCGTTGTCTATTATCGTGAGCAGCGTGATATTCATACCAAGTTGGCCTACAATTGGTGGTCATTGATTGGAGCTACTGTGGTGGAATATACTTGAAGACTCAAATTCCACCTTCATTGCTTTGAACACGGTTTTCCGTGTTATGTATTAGGTCACTAGGTTTGTCTTTTATCTCTTTTGTCGTTTTCTGTGAGTCAGTGATCAGATCATTTGGATGCAGGGTCTTCTTTTCCATCAGCGCATAACCCGGTGCAATACCGTCCTCATCGACGCCTTTTTCTAACAAAAACGAACCTTCATTTTCATCTTCGCTTACCGACCTATCAGCACTGTCTCTTCCGAGCAATGAATTTTGTAACCCTTGATCATTTAGGTCACTGCGATCAATTTCCACGGGGATATCAGCGTCTTTTGCATAAACCGAATTTTCATTTCTCCGATTTGACTGGCCTTCCTGAGAGTTTTGGAAAAACACGTATTGTTCATCATCATTGGCATTGCCTTCCTGGGAATTTTCATCGTTTTTGAACATGAGCTTCGAGAGCAGCCGTTGTAACTGGCCTAAATAAGTCAAGGGCTGAACTGATTCCTCGTTCGATGCTTCCGGTGCCTGTGAGGATAATTCGTTCTCATAATCTGACTGTGTTTCAGGGACTTTCGTAGCAGCATTAGCTGTAGCAGCGGTGGCAGCAGCACCTAGGGTTTGTTGTAGAACAAGCTGAATAATTGCTTTAGCTTGCTCGTAAATAGCCTGTTCCTCCTTTAACTGGTCAGCCAGCTGAGCTTGCTGTTGGGAGAGGGTGACTTGTTGTTGTTGAATCTCTTCTAGCTGCTTTTTGATGTTTTCAATTTCACTTAATGTTTGCTGGTTGATAGCCACATTTGCCGGAGCCGTTGTTGTGGGAGGAGCTTGGGTTGCGTTAGAAGTGGTTATTGAAATATTGACATCATCTTTGTGCAGATGGTGCTGCTCAGTTTTTGCTAAGCCGGGAGTTGCACCATTTTCATGAATACTGCCTTTCGTTGTTAGCACATCTTCTTGTTTGGTTAGTAAATCTTCTAAGTGTTGCTGCTGATTAGATAGGTCCTCTTGCTCCTGCTCTATTAGACGCAAAGTTTTCTCTTTTTGACGAAAATACTGGTAGTTTTTCAGCATTTTGCTGATAAAACTAACGCGTTGATCTCTTAATGGTCTACTTTTGCTAGTGTGTTCCTCATTTTTCTCTCCTCTCTGGACACCGCCATTATATTCCCTTATCCATTTTGAAAACAAATGCTTTATTTTCTTCATTTCTTTTGAACCAATATGAGGACGAGAAAAAGCTTTTCTTTTCTTTTTGGAATCCACATGATCGGAGATTTTGTCTTGTTCTAAAGTTGTGGAGTTCTCGTCGGGATGACACGTACATTTTTCGTGGCATTTTTGGTTGTCTTCGTCCAATACGGCTCCATCACAATCCATGAGGCAACTGCAGCTCTGCCGAATGACCTTTGATCTGTCCTCGACCGGTGTTACCTCTATGTTCGAACGCTTTGCAGACTCAGTGGAGGGCACCTGTCTGTTTGGAACTTTCACAGACTCAGTGAAAGACGTCAGTGTTGTTTTTATTTTTGAATGGTTTTCTGTCTTAGTGGAGGATACTGGCTTTGCCTCAATGTGTGAGCGCTTCACAGGGTCAATGGAAGGTACCGGTATTACCTTTCGGTGCTTTTGAGACTTAGGGAAAGGTATCGATGCTGCCTTTGTGAGCTTTTTGTTTGAACGCTTTTGAGACTTAGTGGGTGGTGCCAATGCTGACTTTGTGTTTGAACGCTTCACAGACTCGATGGAAGTTGTCTCGAATCTTTTATTGCAGCATGCAATAGGGCAAGGTGGAAGACATGGTGACTGAATTTTATTACACACGAGTGGACAGATGCTACCCATATGGCCTGCAAAAAAATTAAATAGAATCAGAAACTGTAGAACTTTTTTAAAGCTATAAATCGAAGCAAAATAAATTGAATTAAAGTTTGCCATACAGTTAACGGACATCTTACCTTGCATTCTCTGCCTCCAAAACCATTCTGTGGAAACTGCTCGATGCAACCGCGAAATCCAGCTCTAATAATCGAGTTTCTTCATTTGCGAAAATATTTCGTTCCATAAAACAACTCAGTTTTTTGGGATTATCACCATTAATTTTAAGCCTCATAGAGTCTCGTGCTGTTCGGATTCGCGACATTGTATAGGCATTAATCAAAATATCCCAGAAGAGCTATTTCGCGGCTGAGCCGGTCAGTTTCCAAGAAATCTTTTATTCATTAATTTTTTGCTTCCCACGCGTTTTTAGATGCATAGCACCACAGTAGGTGACGCAAGCCCCTCACAAAGTCACGTGCCTACAACACGAGATTCCACTTAGTTATAAAAATTATATATTAGGCCTCACTTAATTTATTTCGCAATATAAAAGGTGTATCTTCGGTAAGTTATATCAATGTTTGATTCTTTTATTCTCTAATTATGGGTTGTTTTTTGTAAACGATTGCTTTTGTTTTGATAAATGGCCCATTTTACAGTTACAGATAGAAACGAAACTGGAGTTGACCTTGTTTTGATAACTGGAGTTCACCTTGTTTTCTTTCTTTGTTATGTAAATCAGAATGTTTTTCTTTACAGCCAACAAGAATTTTTTCGGCATAGGGCACTTTCCATTCAACCAAAACGTCCGCCTTGAATTTTCAACAACTTCCATTAGCGAATGGAATAACATTTTCCAAAAAGAGGACAACCGGGCGAGGCCCCAATTTTCTAAACAATTTTCCCGGAAGTTTTCTTTCCATTCCACTTTGCTCCTGGAATTTCTAGAATTTTCGGTTAAATGCTTCGCACTTCGGAAATTCAACAGTTCTCGGGAAAGTTCTCCGGAAATTTCAGTACCATTTGCCCTTGCTTCCATATTTTTCGAACGTTTTGGTTGAATGGAAAGCGTCCATAATTTGCTTGAGAAAAGGCAGGAGCTTTGTACCAAAAGAAGGGATGTTTTTCATTTACAAGACTGGTGAATATCGTCCCGGAATGGCGTTTACCGTTTGGACCAATCATTTCCTTCCTCGAAAAACGGCCGCGAAAACCCTGAAAATGGTATCAAAGATGGCCTTGAAGAAATGGAACACGAAATCCGTTTGAAACATTCCGTCCACAAAAACGGGACTACCTTTTCAGATATTCCGTTGCTCCTGGCAATTTTCCGCTGAAACGACCCAAAAGGCCATGTTTCATTTACTTTTCAACCGGATTTTCCGGAAACTAATTGTAAATGGTAAACAACCAAGGTCCGACCTCAGCCTCCGTTCATTCAAAGGCGAGGATACTAAGCCCGCAATTGTAAAATAACCGATTTGTACCCAGATGCTGCGCAAGTGAGTAAAAACGCTCTATTCAATTGTAAATATTAGTCTTACCGTCAGGATGGTAGTGAATATGATAGTGTATTTCTTTTCCACCTACAGAAAGATAGAAAATAGATTAATATAGTTTGACCGTCCGAATAGAAAATAGCGACCCTCAGAGACACGTCCATGACATGATAAATATGACATCTTTCTGTTTGTTATGATTCAGGTCGATTTAAAGCGACGGTACGTAAACGGGCAACAAAAACTTGCAACCTGTTTGTCAAAATTGCTGCAACACGAGTTTAACAGCGATGTTGCACGTTTTACAACCCACGAATCAAACCTGTCTTGCAGCAAATCAGCTTATCATCAGGTTGCAGTTTACGAAAAGGTGTTGCAGAAAGTAGAGAGTAGTTCTTTTTTTCATCAAAATCTGTACATATTGTACGTTTACCGGCTCAAGACAGACGTTTTCTGTAGCAAGAGACGTACCTCCTGTGCATAGCGTGACTCCCGCGTAATAGTGTCCAATCAGAAGCCAGCATTCAAGCAGCTCTCCGAACAACTTGATTGTTGCGAGAGGTTTGAAGGTGTGGTAAAACGCGCTACTTTCTGTTTTAACTCGTTTTGCAGCAATGTTGCAATCTGAATGTTTTTGTTGCCCGTATTACGGTAGCTTGAGACACTATGGTATCAGTCATTTTGAGGTTGCATGTACGACCGGGGGGTACTGCCAAATATGGGCTATACAGGTATGTGCCGCTGTGAAGGGTATGGTTTTCAAGCAGTTTACTCTGGAATAGGGTATAGAAATCAGAGACTTTGGGTTTAGAATAGGGTATCATTTTCCAGGAAACTGATCGATTGGTTGAAGTTTTTAGTCTAGACTAGGGAAACCGGGAATTGCCAATCAAAAATATAAACAAAAGTTAAATTGGAAAGTTTAAATTTACGCAACTCAGCCTAAAAGCTACTCTAGGATAGGGGGGATTTGGGGAATTTAGTGTAATATAGGGTAACAAAATTCAGCTGAACTTGCTCTGGTATAGGCTAAGGGACAAAATGTCTAAAGTAGCCCCCCTGGGCATGTAAGACCGGAGCGGCGTTGCATAATGAGACTGTTTTGGGGACGCTATAGCTTCATCAACCAAAGCACTCCATTATCCATCATGCAATGAGACACAACACCGACTTTGTTTCATACTCGTCGTCAAACCCTTACTCTTAAATGAAAGGCAGAATCACGCAGTGCCATAACTGAGATTAGTTAATCTGTTAGTCTTTAGCCAATCTGTAATGCGTCATGAGGTGAATGGAGTTCACCAAATCAATCCCAATCTTACCACAATCCAGCTAGCGCAATTCTCAGTTAAATATTAATTGTAAAACTATTTCTTACCCTGTGATGTCGTGCCTCCAGGTGGAGGGGGTGCTGTAAGAAATAATATATGACTTAGCCAATTTAACCCTGACACTAGCGAGAATTATATTATCCATCCAGTTTCCCTTACCGTGGTGAAGAGAATTCGTGAGGCAATTGCTCCATCATTTTCTTTATCCCTTTATTGCCTTTATAAGCTTATTTAATTTCTTACTGTTGATTAACGTGAACTTAGATGCTGATCGCTCTTAAAGCCGGGTTGTCAGTATTGATTTCTGGTGGTATAGTTGTAGGCTTGTATGCATGTAACGAAACAAAAAAATTAAAGTCTATTAAAGACTTAAAGACACTTACGGACTGTAAGGTAATGTAGAATTGTTAGGATTTGCACCTGCGAAAACGGTACAACGATCTTTGCTCATTATTTCTAGTGTATTCCTTTTGTTATAGATTTTCAGTCTCGTAAAGAATTAGAATTAGATTTGCTTACGTGTTACTGGTGGGGCAGCGGCGGGAGGCTTAGTAGGAACCAGCGGCGGTGCTGGAGGCTGTGGTGCCGGAGGTGGTGGTGCTGGTACTGGTGGGGCTAGGCCTGGTGGCAGTGGTGGGGGTGGAGATGGTGGAGGAGGAGGCGGGGGAGGAGGGGGAGGAGGAGGTGGAGGAGGAGGCGGAGGAGGCGGAGGAGGTGGAGGAGGTGGAGGAGGTGGAGGAGGTGGAGGAGTAGCCGGAGGAGGTGGAGGCGGTGGTGGAGGAGGAGGAGCAGGTGGTGCCGGTGTGGCTGGTGGTACAGGTGGAACCCCTGCTGGTGCTGTCGTGGTCTGGGCAACTGGAGGTTGCACTGTAAGAGGAGGAGGAGGCTCTAAAAAATAAGGAAAAGAAAAATGGGGAGAAAATTGATTTTTTTTTTTAGTTATAAAGCAGTACCGAGCTGCCAAGTTAGATGATACTGATTATTGTTCTTTTTTTTACAGTATCTGTAGAGAAAGTAAAAAGTATGAAGAAACAATAAAAACCTCAAGTCATACTTGACAAATATTCATTATAACATAGCTAGGAAATTTCGGCTAATCAAATTCAATAGCGCGAGCGTGCTTCATATTCCTATTGAGCACGCTGATGACGTCAATAAACTATTCGTAATTCCTCGAGTTGTTGTGAGCTTAGCAATTCTGAGTCTCCCGAGTGCATCCATAACTCAGCAATAGACAATTTTTATAAGGAAATTTAAGAGGAAAGGTTTGAATTTGTTAACCGATAGTAAGGAAAAGAGGTGAGTGTTGTTGTTGTTGTTGTCATCTCGGCGAGCTGTGCGGGCTATGGCGTGAGATCATTCTTTTTTGCAAAGTTGTTTTCTCTCAATAACAATTTTTCGGTAAATTAAAAGTTTTCCGGCACCTAACTATGGATTTTGCAATCATTTTAGAGTACACTTTCTCTCAGTTTCAGGATAAAAACATAAGATTAACTGTGAGGAAAAAAAAAATAGTCACGTAATCATTAACGCGTACTGCTTAAAATTTTCAGTTAACTGCTGCATTGATCGCTTTGATATTTATTCATGAGGTTGATGAGATATTGAGCAGGAAGTTTGGAGAGCACTCAAAAGGCTAGAGTTGCGGATAAACTTCCCGCGTGCTCAATATCCTAGATCTCCATGAATTCTTCAGATGATACGAAATCATCTGAAGAATTATATGAGGTTGATGAGGAGAGGCCTCGGCGGATAACATCCTCGATCCCCATAATTCTTCAGATGATACGAAAGCCGAATTCAATAATTGTGCATGTTTTATTATTCATTCAAAATAATTCCCAGTTTGAGAACAAGCTAAAACATGATTACCAGCATCGATAATGCATGTTTATCGGCAGGTTTAGGAGATAGAGGGTTGTTTAGTTCTGTATATATTCCCCAATTAGTAGATGTCCGTCAAGTTGTCTTCTTGCTGTTCTTGCTATGTTTTTAGCCAATAGTTCGCATATTTCTCCTCGTGAAACGAGTGAAATGTTCCCCCATTTTGTAATTACTACCAAAACAGGTCAACCTTACCCCAGGTCCTCTCGGTTAACTGTTCAATAAACTGGCAATGGTGTAGCACGATTGACGTCATATCACAAAATTCGTCCAAATTTGGTCGATAATAGCCGGTTATGATGAATTATGTGTGGAATTTTAGCCAATCAGAAAAGGAGAAATATTTAGAATGAATAATAATTATAATTACATACATTACGCACACAGCAACAAGTTACAGAGTGGCCTTTAGAGGCCCCGCATGCTGCAACTGGCTTAGACTGGTGTGAATTAGGTAAGTAACTAATAAGATAATTAATAAATTAATCATTAATCATAATGACTACCTACATGTAGACAAAAACACATATTAAGTTAGAGTACTCTCTGAAATTAAACTAAAATATAAAGAACTAATAATTTTCATCATACAATAACTTAAAGAGGAGAAGGGCCATTTGACCATTTTTATAGTTTGTGCTTTATTATACGTGAGGAAAATCCATCAGTGATTGGTTATTAATTGCTGTGTATGTTTGATCCAAGAAGCATTGCATCACTTCCGTACTGCAATGTCTGTATTTTGTGCCTTCAAGTAGTTTAAAATGAATACAGTGTTAATAGGGCAACAGCTTTTCAGCCGTTCGACGAATTCATGACCAGTTTGCGAGTGAATAAGCGGATGTTATGTAACGCCGAGTATTAATTTTATGTTCGACTTTATGATGATCAATTGTGTAAAATTACAGTCAGGTGATACGGTCGACTCTCTCTTAACGAACACCTCTATAAGACGGACACCTCTGTAAAACAGACACTTAGAGTTGGTCCCTGCCTTTCTTTACTCCTTTTATTTGACCCTCTATAAGACGGACACCTCTCTAAGACGGACACTTAGTGCCGGTCCCAAAGGTGACACCCGCCCTGGGTAGAAGGGTCACCCTTCCAGCCGGGTCAACTTTAGCGAGCTTTTATATGAGAAAAAAAAATTACACCTTTGCTCGAGCCAACATGATGCTCTGATTTTGTCGCTTTGGCTTTTTACTCCTTTTATTTGACCCTCTATAAGACGGACACCTCTCTAAGACGGACACTTAGTGCCGGTCCCAAAGGTGACACCCGCCCTGGGTAGAAGGGTCACCCTTCCAGCCGGGTCAACTTTAGCGAGCTTTTATATGAGAAAAAAAAATTACATCTTTGCTCGAGCCAACATGATGCTCTGATTTTGTCGCTTTGGCCGAGTTGACCTGGCTGGACGGGCCAAACTTGTCCAAAGTGTTTATTTGGAAAAAAAAGTTAACCCGGCTAGGAGAGTGACTCTACCATCCCAGCTAGGCGGGTCGCCCTTTTAGCCTTTTTAACTTTTTGTTTCTTATGTAAGCACTTATCCACGTTTTGTAGGGAGAAATGCCAACCTCGTCCCCAGGGCTTTTCCCTTTACAAATGGGTGGTGCGTGCATGAAAAGTTGGCTCACCCGTGGCAGTTCTAGTGGGTGGGTGACTAGTCTACCCAGAACAGCCCGGTTTATCCATGTAAGTGGGACTCCAGATTAAATTACTATATAACCTTGCACAAGTGTAGACACTAATTTTTGGTCGAAATTCAAAACGGCTGCGCCACTTACAAACTGCAATCGTTTTGACTGCCACAAAAACTTGATCCTTACCTGCAGTTACTATGACTTCTATGTAGTGATCACAGTTATTTCTGGGCATAACGGAGATTGTTTTGTCACCATCGAGGTGAATAAGATATCCGTAGGGATCCTCCCCACTGAAAGTGATAAAACTGTGAAACTGCGGGTCTTTGAAAGTTAATCGTATTCTCAGCTCATTTCCCGAGACATCCCAGCCCTCAACTTTTATTGGTGAAGATATGTGAAATTTATGGCCAACCATGTTCTTGAAACGAAGCGCAATACATTTACCTGGGGAGAAAAAGTTGGTTAAATTAAGCTTGCAGAAAGACTTTGTAAATTCAAGCTACTCTCAGATTAATTTCCAAAGTCGCATATATGTTTAAGTTTCTGGATAGTTTTTTTACTATGTTAGCCTTCGGCGTACATGGGATCCATTCCCACATTCTTTTTTTTTAAAGCGACTTTCATTCTGCACATAGTGGGTTCCTTGGTTAGTAAGTGTGACGTCGTAAGTGGCATGAGTTAGAGCTATTTTAAAGCAAAAACGATTTTTACCAATAAGAGCATTTACCGAACTGACAGGTAATTAGTCTAATGATGAATTTAAAGTTTGTGAAATCCAAGGTGGTAGCCTTCGTTTTGGATAACGTCACAGGTTAAGATCAGAGCTATATTTTCCCTTGAGAGGCAATCCAAGACAGTATTGGATTCTGGATTCCACGCAGTGGATTCTGGATTCCAAGTACTGGATTCCAGTCTTTGTTAGTGGAACTTGGGTTCTGGATTTCAATCGTTAGTGGGATTCCGGATTCCAAAGCCCAAGATTCCGGATCCCGCAAAAATATGTTCTCGGATTCTAGATTCTACAAGCAAAAATTTCACCGATCCTGGAATCTGTATTCCCTTATATAGTGCGCCCCTTTCTCCCGGGGTTGGGGAAAGTTTGGGTAGAGGTGTGCCGCCGAGGTTTTTTCTTTTTTTAAACCCGAATCCTGTTTAATACCAGATAGTTCATTTTGTTACCCTCTTAAAGATAGTAGAATGAATTAATTTTATAGAAAAAAAGATGACGTAAAGAATTTGCTTTTTTAGCAACAAATTGTTTGTACCACATACATTTGAAGTCCACGTGCTCCCAACGTTCACACCCTGTCCATGGCTTGTTCAGAAAGCTCAAGAGATTCAACTCCCGCCTCCTCCCCCCCAAAAAAACCTTGTTTGGTGACACATTTTATGGTTTGTTTGTTTGTTTTTGTTTTCCTTAAAATAGAAACAGGCTCTTCAACTTTCTTCAGGATAGAAGATTCATGAGATTTCGCTTCCTTTTTAACTTTGCTTAAAATTAAGAATTGTAAATTCCGATTCTTTAGATTACTACAAAGCTTGTGTTCTAAAATTCTATAGAATTCAATAATTGGTATTTACTCTCTAGTAGTATCCATTCTGCATCACTTTGGTCAGGTAATATTAATGAAGTATTTAGCGGTTATTACGACTGGTCGTCTTTTTTTTACCTAGCCACAGTAGTTCATTATGCTATAAGAGAGTGCAGGTATTTGAAACAGAATACCATTAGAGTTTAACTAATTCAAAATTGATTAATAAAGTAAAAAGTTTAGGCAAAATATAATGATTACTTCCTGGTATTTGAAGCAGAATACCATTAGAGTTTAACTAATTCAAAATTGATTAATAAAGTAAAAAGTTTAGGCAAAATATAATGATTACTTCCTGGTAGCAAGGTGGGAGGAACGGGCGGTGAAGGTTGCACGGTGGGCGGTGGTGGTTCTCCAGGTATACCGGGTGGTCCAGGGGGTGGTTTACCAGGCGTTGGTCCTTCAGGTCCCTCCGGCTCTTGTGGGCCTATAGTATCACAGTTCTTGAGTGGATCATCCATTGTGTAGGGTACAACAACAAACGAACTTTCAATGGCAAATTCACTTGTTTTGTTGTCGAAAGCAGCCATTGTCTTCCAAGAAGAACCAACTTGATTCGACTCGGTGATGTACCAGCCTTGATGAATAAGCCCGAAAGAAAAGGTTCCTTTCTGTTCCACTCGGTGTCCAATGTAAAACGTAGCGTCTTTTCCTGCGGAATCGTATAATATGTGGAAATTATGTCACTTACTTAAAGTCGTTTCAAGGGTGTGTAGAAATAACTGATTTACGCGGGCAGTATAATAGCACGACTGCACAAGTAAGGCCAGCCTGAAACTTTGACAAACTGGGTACCATGGCGCCTCGTGCTCAACTAAATGAGGTTAAGATAGTTGGATATTGGTCAATATACAGCCATCTTTATCGAACAGGTTGGGTCAGTAAGAAACTTGCTCTTGCAGAACTAAGGTGAGAAATTGCAAACCAAACCGACCAAACCAAGCCGTGATTACAGTTGATCCAGAAGAAATGAAAAACGAAGGTTGTAACGTGCATTATGGGAAATGTTGAAGTAGCGAATGGGTTGTATCCTTCCCACGTGCACTGCAGGTCCCAACATTGTTGGCCCGGTTTGCAAGTAGCTTTAGCCCTGCATTACGATAGATGCAGTCGACACCAGACCTTTTTCCGAAAGCTCTGCTTGGGGAAATAGCTTGGGTTTTGCTCGCTCTGTTTTTTGATCTTTCTTATGTTTGCGGCTACACGCTCACAAAATTGCACAAGGGGAAGAAAAACCTCAAACCTTGTAAACATTGAAAACTGACGCAGAATTGGTTCCAACGATTGCTTACAGAAACAATATTTTCTGATTTTTAACACTGATGCAAAGAAACTTCCGAGTGTCTCAAAGTGCTTTTGAATTAATAAGACGAGAAAAAAAATCACAGGAGCGTCCAAAATTTTTTTTCGAGCTTTTTTATTCCTACCAGTTGCAGGTAAGATTTGGCGCCAAGATCAACACAACCCGTGATTCTACTTTTTGCTACCTTTCACTTTCTGGTGATTGGTTGAACCGCTTTGAGTTCTTATTAACTCATAAATGTTAGAGCCTGTTTACACAGGTAGGTTAGGTACCATGTGGTGTGTCACACCACCTGACATGCAAACGTGATAACATTAAAATGAGAGATTATATGGACGGCGGTTTACCCCAGCTCAGCGGGTTACCTCACCTACCTGGGGTCCCCCACCTCCATGTAAACATTCCCCTAGTTCGAGAACTGTCATGAGGAATTCTTTTGTTCTCTTTGACTTATCTATAGAATTCCTCTAGGCAAGAGATAATGATCTACGAGATCGTATCCCCTTACATGATCCTCTTCCCATGAAAATTATCTATTCTTGGCTCTGTGTCATACTGCATAGATATTTTAAGGACGCCACCTTATTGGTAGGTTAAAATGGCGTCATGTAATTTTAAATGAGTGGGTGGTTTTTGGCGGGTAATTCATTTTACTGTCGCCCACGCACAGCAAGCGATACGACGTGAAAACTCGCATTGGTATTACTTTCGCCGACGAGTCAAAAGATTTCTACGTGTAAAAATCTTGCCAGAGTAGCTGCTGATGAGCAAAACGGTCCTGGCGTCCGAGAGTCCCCAGAGAAAGCTGTCCCGACTCGACGAAAACTGCTCATTGTGGTCCTCGCTACATAAGTATATAAACAACAGCCTCGAGTAAGTCTTTCTATAATTGTCAATGACAATTGTCTCTCCCGGCGAAATCCACCTAAAACCGCGAGCTGTGATACCGTCGTTTTGGATCCAAACGTGGACAGGTAAAAAGAAAATAGATTTTAAGGGGGTTCAAACACGTCATGTTTGGCAGCTAAACATTTGAATTTTGAGAGGGCGTTAGCCAAATGTTCAAGAGCAATGTAGGCGCACCGCTCATTATAAAGCATTGACCGAAATCAGAAACTGCGTCTCTGGCATCCAGGTTAGCGACTGTTTAACAGCTTCAGGCATCTGACCTGATTTGTGCTCGCGCAGCGAAATATTCATAGTAAGTATTGGACGCTGAGAAGAAGTAATGCAGTTTAAAACTCTCAAGAAGAATTCTTAAAAGCCTCATAAAAGCAAGTGTCCTGTTTCTGAACGAGAAATATTCCTGGAGATAGAGAAAAAAATATCTTGCACATTTGCGTAAACAACTGAAGCCAGCCGCTAATTAAGGTTTCGTATTTCGCCTGTGACAATTTTTGCCTTTGTTCTCTCGGTGTGTCAGTATTCAATATTCGATACTTTAAATGAGGCTACCTGGACTTAGCAAATCTCAAAGTGAAATTTTGACTCCAATACTGCAGTCCAACTTATTCCTAAATTTATTCCTAAATAATGAGTGGAACGCGCTGATAAAACACATGTCAACAACTTAAACCTTTAGAGCGATAATTGTTGCAACTGCTGTCAAACTTCAAACGCATGGCGACGAAACATGTTGCGTTCACGTAAAAGTAGATCGCGTGGGTCACGGAAACATTAGCCTCCCAAACAGGCGTTTTTAGGGGAGCTCGTCTTTCATCCCTCCCAACAAAGGAGGGATGAAAAATTAGCTCCCCTAAAAACGCCTGCGTGGGAGGCTACGGGGACATCAGACAAATATAACCTTCGCCGCAAGCGCGCAAACTGTAAATAGATTTCATACAATTATCATGGGGCACAGGGACTTGCTCTCCTAGCTCATTCTCTCTTGCCCGGGACAAATTCACCATATGCATGGGAAAAATCGGTCACACACTAAAAGTTGTTTCCCCGTGTGTAAAAGCGTTTTATCCAAGGGCAAAATGGCTGGTGCATTGACTTGAAAAAATAAAAAAAAAATTCTATGTTATTGCCTGTATCCAAGAACTACACTTGCCAAAGTTTAAGCTTGCATGCGTCGCTGTCAGTATGAAACCATATCTCCTTTGTCGTAGGAAGTAGCCTCGTTTGCAATAGGATTCAAGGGAGATGGTGTTACGATCCCGACTAAACCCAGGAACATGTGCAATGAAGTACTGGCAAGTTGGACCCAACATCAGGTCTTCACCCTTGACGTAAAAGCAGGCGTTGTTCTGGTAATCTCCTATGGTAGGATGGTTTACTGAATACATCATATAAAGAGCTCCATGAAAGACTGAATATAAAGAAAATGTTAAATTAATTTTAGTTTTTCTTCGTTATTGGTCTGAACATCGCAGACCCGACGGCACACCTGGAGACCATGTGATAGTCTATCAAGTGTCATCGCGGGGAGTCACTTAACATTTTCAAACCAGACGAAGATATCTACAAAGGCATACAAATGAAGGAGTGGTGCATTTTATAAGGTAAGATGCTGGAATTTAGCAAGTAGTACAGTGTAATACTATTAAGATTCCCGTGGTAAAAGTAACCTTCACTGTTATAACAAGTTTATGTCGCCTTGACTTTTAAATTGATCTTTAAAAAAGCCCAAAAGCAGCACACCCGTTTAAACGTTTCCGTTAACTTGGAGACTTTGAAACTAAGCAAATAAATAAACGGAATATCGCTGTCAAAAAGGGCCTTCGATCCAGCTATAAATCTGTAGCGGAAAAGTGGACAACCTCAAAGATACAAGACCTCGATGGGCAGTGGACCTATTCCGCGATTCCATCGTGTGAGACGAGTCATCAGTTACCCAATTTTGACAGCTGTCAATGATATGGATGGCGTATATCACTTTCTACAAAGTTGATTGCGACTGGTTGACATTTTCATTCAAGGCACACTTACAGGGACGACTTTGTAAACATAAACTAAGACACACCCTTGATCCCAATTTCAGTTCTTCGAGGTCGTAATTGAAATACTGAAAACGAAATTGAACAGACTGCAACGGAGACAGTATTTCCAGAATTTATTAGAGAACATTAAAAACAAACTATGACAAGCCATTTTGAGTCAACAACAGTACAAATTCTCCATAATTTATGAATTTTCAAAGCACGGAGGTGTTTTAGACTCGAAACAAAGCAAAAAAACTAGAAAGCAAAGGTAATGTAAAAAGCTTAATTTTCTATTCATAGAAAGTTTGCACACTGAATTATCTTCATTTTGTGTGTCTACAATTTTAATCTTTAAAATGACTTTTTTAATATGAGCGGTGGCATGAGATAATTAGTTATGCAATGCTTTCTTGTGGTATATCTTGAATATCCAACTTGTGTCTTTAATTTTTTGGTATACACTGTCTCTCGAAGGGTTGTGGTTACAGGTCTCGGGTTGGATCTTTTACTGTATAGTACTCAAAAGCAATGTGTAAAAACTCCATAAAAGAAGACAGCGTATGTCTCATTTTCATCGTTAGGAAGATACATAAATGAGGTCGGAAGGTTATTTTTCATACTTGATAGCAAATATTTGTCCGAAAGAAAGCCACATTTCCTTTCCCCTGATGCTCCGTGTGCTTACCTTAAGCGCGCAGAGCCCTGCTAGGAAGATAATGTATTCCTGAGAAATTGGATAAGAGTATCGATTAACCAAATGGAATATAGTTTTCCAGCGCGCTACCCTTTAGAACAGTTATATGACGATTTTCGGTTGCTGCCATTGTTCCATACAAAAAAATGTTGATTCTTGACATTTGTGACAAAAGTAAAAAAAATGACTGCCCGCTGAACTTTGTAAGTGAAAAAAAAAACTTTCAAAACCACTTTTTTTTCACCTTAATAAACCCCTTTTCGCTTGCCAAAGTACGTAATTTTGATTTTCTTTCGGTCAATTGCAAGGGCAATTCGTTATAACAGTGGACGTTTCCGTTAAACCTGTAATAGGTGGTGTTAAATTTTACATTTGACCCTACTGCATAATAAAGTCTACATTCTAACTTATAGTCTTTCTCTTGGGTTCCACCTAAAGCTAATCGCGTAACACTTTCACTCAAGTCTTCTGAGTATGAATTATTTATGAGTTCTTTGAAGAAGATGTAAGGATTCTTCTTAAACATATCAAAGGGAACTTCTTCCTTCTCTTAAGAGATTCTTCCTCCTCGCTCTCAATCGTCGACTTTTCTTCAAACCGCATTCTGTTTGAAAGGTTTTGAAACAAGCAGATTAAACACAAAACTGCTAATGCTTAATCTTAGGTTTCTTTGTTAAATGCAAAGGGTTAAGTATTCAAGTAAAAGAAACAAAGCAAATTTATACTCACATGCAGTTGCCGCTCCATTGCTGTTAACTGCTGCAGCAGCCGCGGCGTTAGCTTTAGCAATGGCAGCCGCGGTTATTGAAGTTATCAGTCCAGCCGCTCCTCCGGATTGTGCCCCTGTTCCAGCTATACTACCAGCTCCACCCATAGCCCCAGCACCAGCACCAGCACCAGCACCAGCACCAGCAGCAGCAGCACCAGCGGTTGCAGCCGCAGCAGCCGCAGCTCCAGCAGCAGCTGTGCCACCTCCACCCATGACACCACCTACTATAGGCACACCAGAGGTTACGCCCGCTGCCCCACCGGCTCCGGCTACGGCTCCGGCTCCGGCTCCGGCTGCGGCTCCTGCCTCGGCTCCCGCTTCGCCTCCAGCACCAGCACCAGCAGCAGCCCCACCTCCACCTCCTGCTTCTCCTCCAGCCTCGGCGCCAGCTGCAGCTGTCCCAGTTGCTGCTCCTCCACCACCTGCGGTACCTGCTGTGCCCGCTGTTCCAGGAGTACCAGCTGTCCCAGCGGTACCACCTCCGCCTCCAGTCCCAGCACCTGCCGCTGCCCCGGCTGCAGCCCCGGCCGCTGCTGCTGCCCCTGCTGGCTTCTCAGTGGGGTGTTGCCCGAAGATGTTGAAAACGTGACCACTCTGCATCTGCGCCATCAGTATTTTCTGAAGTGTTTCTAAGGCGATGACATGAGCAATTCGTTTTCCAGCTTCTTCACCAGCTTTTATTCCCGCTTCCTCGCCAGCTTTGGCACCAGCCTCAGCTCCAGCCTTTGCTCCGGTCTTAGCTCCCGCTTTAGCCCCACTGTGGGCACCTGCCTGGGCACCTGCGTACGCCCCGACTGTGGCGGCATGTACCACGGAGTTGTTTCCAGTGATAACAGCTGAAGAACGAAAAGCAGCGGATGAACATTTTGCTATTATCTATTGTCCTTAACAACAATTCTTCTTCCTCTCTTCATTAACGATAGTAGACGATTGTAAGGCGCGAATACCTTCAGAGTCGTTTACGCTACTAACGTTTTCCCTTAGCTTTAGTCTTATTTGTGGAAGCCAATATGATCAACATCTAAGTGAGAATCGTCAAACAAACGAAATCCATTATGCACATTAACCATGATGAACAATATCTCTCATGACGAAAACATCTTATCTTTGGAAACGGTTTCAGACGTTTGAGTAGGAGGGAAGGAAATTCTTCAGCTCTCAAGTACGAGTTGATTCATTTATGGAAAAAAACATCTTAAAAATATATATCAATTATTTTCAGGGGTGGACCTGAAAGATCCTGAAATAGTTTTAATTCTAAACTGAATGTTTACTCACGGATGGTGCTTGCATTTCCCGCCGGCGCTGGTATAGAAACACCCGGTATTCCTGATGGCAATCCGGGTATTGAAGCCTTCTTATCTTTTGCTATGACATCAAATATAAATTGGATTAAAATTATTATTATTATTATTATTATCATTATTAATTATCATTATCATTATTATTATTATGTTATCATTATCATTATTATTATTATTACTACAGAGTTGCCAGCTTTAGAGGAAACGGTAGTGTTCTGTTGGAGTTGGCAGAGTTTATAAAGTAAATGTAAGAATTCGCTTGGGTAAAGTACTGTCACTCGAAGCGTCAATCTAGTTCAAGTGAACTACTTAAAACGGTGAAAAAATTCTCTTACCAGACGGTTAGTCTATAAAACAATTCTTGTGTGTCACTGTAGAGGCCTAGTAGTCTTTCCAGATAATAATAGTTAAGTAACAAAAAAATCAATAAAAATCCACTCTTTCTTCACCTAATTATATATAATCGAGAACTGAAGAATTTAAACGTTTAGTCTCTTGATGCTACAGGTGACGCGGTCTTCTTGGTGTGTGTGGGCTCCGTTTAGCTCATGGGCTTCTTTTGTTTTCATAATGCGCCGGTTTAAATAATAGTGTAGAGATGGGTGAATTAAATGATTACACTTCTTGATTCACATCATTGGAGTTATTTATGATGATTATAGTAAGATCAATCATTTCTATACTTTCCAGTTTTAAAAAAGGAAGGTTAGGTGGTGGTAAGGGGGGATCACCCCCTTCGGCCTCGTGTGCTAAATCCAAGCCCGCCATATATTTAATACATGGTTGTTCTGATAATCTATCTGCATGGAAGTCGTATGCTTTGTGTTATTGACTCTGAGTTAGATTAGTTTACACAATAATAAATCTTGCGCACTTGAGCTTTTTGTTTTAAAAAGCTATGCACCATGTTCCATTTTCTAAAGTTCTATGTCTTATTCTGTTAAAAAAAGATAGGCATTGTGTGGAAACAAAATATAGTTTTCTTTCTTGGCGGTCTTGTTGTTCAATTAAAGTTGTGACCTTTTTCAAATGTTTCAAATTCTAACCTCCAACTCAGATAGTCATTTTGGATTACACGTGGACTCCCTTCTAACTACGCTTCTATTTTACCTTAGAAGCTTTTTGTTTAAATTAGCACTTGACGATTCCCTGGAAAATGTAGATGGAAACATCGAAAGCAATACTAAGCCAGTTATACGCTTCTTAACCCCATTAACCCCAGTTGAATATCTGAGCCTTTAAAGCCTCAGTCGCCCATTTTTGTGATGAGCTTACTAGCAATTGACGAGATCTATTCATTTACGTCTCTAGTAATTAGTACCTTTCACAAAAACAGACCAAGAAAGGTAAGAAAGCGACAGTTCATCAATTTATCGCTGTTTAAATGTCACTTAACTTAGCTGATATGGCTCAACTGCAATGTATTTTGTTTTATTTTGGTTCACAAGTCTGTATCCCTTAAGTTCTAGTGTAAGAAATAATTTGTTCATCCAATAAAATGAAATTTCACCTACCAGCTACACGCTGTGCTGCTCCACTGATTCTTCTTCCGATACTGGACCTTCGTCCATCGCTGCTCACGGCCGTCCAGGTCAATAAAAGAACAAAG